TCGTTAAAGAGAAAGAATAGTGAATAGACATATTTGAATTAAAAACAAAAGATGGACAGTAATTGTTAAAACCTATCTCTAATAATTATTTGTTAATTGATAGTTTTGTATATCATTATTATTATTATCATTGATATTGTTATTATTTTTGTTTTGAATGAGTTTTATGCTTTGTTGATTCATGTGACAAAATAACAGTAATTTTGTCTTAAGGGGGGAGGAATGTGATAAAACTCATTATTTTATCCCTATTATCATTACATTTCTGCATTAAATAAGGCCTCCCATTGTTATTATTAAGTCTAAGGATATTTAACTTATTTGACACTTAGTCTAGGGACAGTATTTTTGTTAAAGTCAATTGTTTACTTACCTCACGTTTTTAGACATCTTTGTTTACTATAGACGTCCATGTTGCCCTTAAATCCGTAACTCTATATCTTAAACGTAATCTGATAGGTTTAAAGTCTATTATCTTGTCCAGTTATATGGGTTTTAACAGTTCACGGTTGGGTGACCATTTCTTTTGTGTACTCACCGTATATTAGGCCGTGTTTCGAGTAGATCGGCGGACTGCTCTCCTAGCGTCCACTGCTCTGCAGCCTTACTACGGGTAAGCTAACCTTCCCGTATTCTGAGCACTTTGTACCGTTTTCGGTACTTAGTTATTTGAGCACAATTCAAAATTATCCCAAAAGTTAAGTTCCCAATATTCTAACATTCACATTCGGCGCCATTGTGGTCTATTAAATATTTGCATTTCGATCCCGATCTAAATTCTCATTATCAAAATTACCTAAGGCTAAAACTTCTAAATAAATAAAGTTACAATACCTATTGAATTTCAAGATTATTTATAGGGTTATTTTCATTAATTCATCTCATTTTTCATATCTATTTTTCATTGTTTTGTAGAACTGGAAGTACCAGTCCATGTTATTTCATTGTTCATTGTAAATAAATAAACATCATATTTTCATCATTATTATCTTTGTCTTATTTTATGATCATCAGGTAGAATTCTCAGGTGGATACTCCCTCGAACCTGACTGTCCCAAGAGCAGAATAATTTATTATTCCCCTCTTGGGGTTGCAGTCATATTACACGTGATTTGAAAGAATTCGAAATTAAAGTATGCAATGAAGGTTCTACTTGAAAAGAGTTTCATCTTTTTAGCCTAGTGATTCTAGCTTTCCTCTTTCAACTTCATCAAGGGTTACAATAAAAAGGAGGTATAACATTTTAAAGAAAAACAATTGTCTTGAAAAGTATAGTTAATATTTCTGTGATATCCCATTGCCATTTGTTTCAGAAGTTTCCCATTGCCATTCTTGTAGATGTTTCAGAAGCTGACTTTTTATGTACGAGGGTTGTCCCGTAAAATCGTAGACAAAGCGTTTTTCTCTGAAAATAATGGACGCACTGGACTGAAATTTTCAGCAAATGTTTATTTATCATACATGAGTATAATTTACTTTTTTTTGGTACAAAATAAACAAAAACAAAGATTTTATTATGCCTTAATATGCGCAAGATATGGTCCTACGGCGCACCACCAAAAACGGATAATTTCCCTCGAGAATGTTAAACGCAATATTTCAAATTAAAAATTATTAATCGAATCAAATTGTAACAAAAATTATCTTATTTCAATTTCTGGTCTATTATGACGTCATTTTAAAAATTTCATGTTGATTGCGTCATTTAAACAGTTTCCCGAACATTTGAAATGCAAAAGTACTGGACAGGAAAAGAGGAAAATGCCGAAGTTCGATGACGCTACGGCGCACCGGAATGACGCTACGGCGCACCGGATTGCTATTCAGTTTTGTGTAGACTTAGGAATGACGCCTGTACAGACTTTAAAACAATTTAAGACGACTGAAAAATATATGAACGTGTCAAGATCTTTAGTTTACAAGTGGCATGGGCGATTTTCAAGTGGAATTTCAGGTACTGAGTCCCGTGGGAGACCGAAACATATAGACAAACAACTACTGGCTGCTGTAAGAAATACCATCAACACAGACCGTCGAAGAACAGTTCGGGAGATAGCAAGTTTAGTTGGATGTGGTAAGAGCACTGTTCATAGAATATTAACACAGAACTTTAGTATGTCCTACGTATGTGCGAGATGGGTCCCTCGCTTGCTTACTGAGGATCAGATGGCAACTCGTGTTCGAACATCAGTCCAATTCCTGGACAGTTGTAGGGCCGATCCAACTTTTCTGAGAATAATCACAACAGATGAGACGTGGGTCCATTATTATGAACCTGAAAGTAAGCGGATGTCCATGGTTTGGAAGAATCAGGATAGCCCCCCTCCGAAGAAAGCGATAGTTGTCAAGTCTATGGGAAAAGTGATGTGCATGGTCTTTATGGATATATCAGGGGTTCTTTTGGTTCATATGGTGAAAAATGGCTGTACGGTGAATACAAATTACTACTTCAAGGTATGTCTATTTTTGGTACATGTAAAAAAAAAAAAAATTTAAAATTTCATAAGGGCCTATTTAATCATTATCATGTTGTAAATTTTGAATTTACTAGGGGGAGGTAAATGCAAAATTTACAACATGATAACAGTTATCATGTTGTAAATTTTGCATTTACCTCCCCCTAGTAAATTCAAAATTTACAACATGGTAATAATTAAAATAAAACATTTGTATATATGTTATAATAAATCATAACTACCTCATTCCGTTGTATATACATAAGTATTTTGGCACTGATAAGTTAAAAATCAAATTAATTATTCGTTCTTTGAAAATGCTTTAATGATTTTTTTTCAATTTTCAGGTAGTTTGCCGGGATTTGTTGCACGCTATACGCAAGAAGCGCTCACATCTTGCAGAGAATCTTGAAAACATTGTATTTCACCAAGATAATGCCCCAAGTCATCGGTCGGAAGGCACAGAATTTGAGCTGGACATGTTAAGTTTTCAAAGAATAGAGCATCCTCCGTACTCACCGGATCTGTCCCCATTGGATTTCGCATACTTCCCAAAGTTAAAAGACTACATGAGAGGTCATCGTTTTGAGAGTCTCGATGAAATAAAGTATGAAATAAGAACATACAACAAGACCTTAAATTGTCAGTGGTTTAAAGATGTTTTTAACAAATGGATGCGCAGGCACCAGAAATGCATTGACAACGGGGGAGATTATTTTGAGAAGGGGTGTAGAAAATTCGTGACGTGCGAACAAATACTATGACGTTATTATCCGTGCGCCGTAAGGCAATACCATCTATGACATTAAATGTCATATTTTTTTATTTGACCACATATCTATTTCAAATTTGCTATAAATATTGAAAAAATATATACTATATTATAGTAAATATTTCGTAACGCAGTGTTGATTAGTTTTTAATCTAGACAACTTGTCCATGATTTTACGGGACAACCCTCGTATGTTACACAGTGAACTCATGTTACATTATTAACATTAGTTTCTTACGTAATCTCATTTTACTTAAATTTTAGAAAGATCCCAATGGGTCCAATGCATGTACGATGTTAGTTGCTCATTATTAGTTAATTCATTTGTCTTTGATCTGCCTATTAGCGATGAAGATAACATGTATACATGTATTTAATTATGGTTATATTTTATTTTCGTCATTATTAAATGTACAATTTTAGTAATCATGTTTTAAATATTAAGGTCTCGATCTTTGTGAGATCTTTCTTGCTCATTAGTCTCGTGTGTTTGAGATCATTACAATATTTAGCAAATTACAATTAGCTGGGCCAAGGAGGAAGTAAAATTAAAAAAAAAAAGGTGTGGATCCGAGATCATTGGAACTGGGTTTTAGATATATTTCATTGTTCATACAATTTAGACGTGCTGAAGGAAATTGCAAATACACTTTTTTATGGAAACATTTTGTTTTAACATGAATTTGCAATATCACCTTGCAGTAAATGTTTTGATGAGGAGGTTACATCTGTTGTTTTTTTTCTGTCTTCAACCTCTTCACTGCTCTGTAAAATTTCGCCTTTACATCTTATTTTGATGTCATTCAAATTAATCGATCATCTATACAAATGAAAAAAGTGAGAAGGGGATCTTTTATCATTTTTATCATTTTTCAGAGAGGCTGTCTATCTTTGAGGAGGCCTAACCAAATCATCCATATCTGTTACCTTAGTTAGATATAAAGCATACCACTAAAGGAAACTTTTGGAGGTTCTTAGTGAAGCAGTGCTATAAATGACGTGTGTTCTGCCATTTACAAATCTCTTGCAGCATACAACAAAGACCCTAATTACCCTAATACTTCTTCTTTATTTTCTGTTGTCTTTCGTTTCTTTTTAATTGATGTTTACTGTAAAATTCTGCAACACCTTTTGTTTTCACAAGACGGTTAAGCAATCTTTTCTCTGCTTTTTGAAATTCAATTACAGTCGACACGTTCATTATAAAGTGTTGCTTTGCTCTGTTGTTAAAACTGGTCGATAGAGGGGACACTTTTTTCTCTTTGATTAGAAAACTTGTCATCTTTGAAAGCTGTGAAGAATGCAAAGCAATCTTTTTTGAAACTGAAAGATTTCTGCCCCCCTCTTTTTGGTGTTTTAGTGGTATTGCACCTGTAAAATAAGAAAGTCCTATCTTTTCTCATTCAAAAGCTGACCAAGTTTTCGTGACAGAAGGACACACTGACTGACATGCGAATGATCTTTCGCTTTCGTGAAAGCGGGGGACAAAAAAATCAGAATTATGTATAAATCTATCTATCTTTTTTCTCTCTCTCTCTTCTAAGTTTTCTCTTATTCTAAGTTCTGATTGGCTCAAACGTGATCACACGTTGAAGTACATGTATATAAGAGCACATGTGTTTCTATTTATAGATTCTTAAAAGCAATGCTCGGTCGATATGCTTCTCTGTGAAGTCACTTTTTATATGGATTGATACATATATATAGTATGGCTCTCTGTTCAAAATCTATAAAATGCTTCTCTATATCAATGAAATATAAGAATATGCATATTGGATTTCAGATTTTTATTTTCTCATTCAATGAGCCAATATTCAATTGATGTACATGTGCGCATTTTGACAAGAAATAAAACACCATGTTTTATCTATGTTTATCAATGTTTTACTTACAATGAAAAAAAATTGTAGTCTTTGTACTATGATTATCACTCAAATTAAATTAACATGAATTCATGAACAAAACTTAAAGCATTTTAAGAACGAGTTAAAGCAGCAAAAATCACTTGATGGAAAAGATTTTTCCTACATATAGAAGGATTTTGTTATATTAGAACATGACGAAAAATCTCGTTGAGTAATTAATATGTATATCGTAATAATTTGGTCGATTTCAAAGTAAATAATTGGTTTATCAATTGATATAATTAACCATCTACATTTTTCTCAACTTTTAAAGACCTGTGCTTTTTATTATAAGAATTAAAAGAAAAGGACAAAGAGAAATTCTCTGAATAAGGAAAATTTTTCTTTATCGTTAAAATTACCGTTAATGATCAAAACATGGTGTTAACAAAGATTTATCACGGAAACAATCTGTGATTTAAATCATCTTCAATGTATCACTTGTACATAACAATATTAATACCAAAAGCACCAAATAACAAAATATCTGTACAAAAAACAAAAATATCACAGATTTCTTCTCATGGACCTCTGAGAAAACGGGGTCCACAATCAACAAATACATGCCATACAACTTGTTCAACTTGTGCAATGATGCAAGTAGACTTCATTTTACAAGAAAAGAACAATTATATGCAATATACAAGATACAAGATGCTAATGCATGTATATTTTTAGGTTGTCAAGTTGTTGATATATTAGCACATGTTTAACAAGTGATTGTCAATGCAAATCAATATCACAGGGCAAATGGCACTTTGGAATACACAACCACAGATGTCTATTAACGCCTAGTTATCGGTGAAAGAGGTCGTAATTAAGCTCATAATTAAGCGTCAGACATCTCTTCGTACTAGGTTGATTCAGGGGTAATGTGCAACAGGTGATGCTCTGAAATACAGGCGTTCAAATGACATTTGTTGCAATTGGTCTAAACTATGTTGCCAAGTTCAGACTGATGCAGCACTATGTTTCTGCTCTTGCAAATCTAATCAGAAAAAAGGCTGTAAAGATCGCCTATTTTAATGAGCATTTTCTAATTGCAACAGATGGACTTTTTCCCCCTTTTTACTGGCCCCTGCAACATGGGACTCTTTTTTCTGCATGAAGCAAAAAGAAGTGGCGACAGTGCTCAGTTTGCACTGGATTGAGCCATTCATACTAGATGCTTAATCATAATGTTCGGTAAAGCATTTCTCCTCTTTCTCCATGATCCTAAGTCAAGGGTCTGTTGTTTTACATTCTGAAGCCAAAGTTTGAAAAGGTTTGAGTCGTCACACTGTAAAAAGAGAATTAAAGATTAACATGAATTTCTTTTGCAGGCAATTTGATATTTATCTTGTTCTAAGAAAAACACCATCAAGAATTGATTTAAAATAATAAAGAATCATTTTACGTACCTTGAATAAACATGACTCTTTGTTGAGCTCCATAACTTCAAAAACATCCTCCAAATCTTTGTCAACATTGATGATGCAGCGATTAAGCAAAAATGGTTCCTGCAAAAAAGTCATATTTTAAAATTTTAAAAAAATCAACATGTAACAATTTTTAAATGGATTTCGACAGTTTAATTTTAATTATTTAACTTGTTTTCTTTTTCTTTTTTTTTTCTTAGTGTGAAGGCCTGTGAATGTTACAAAAAATATATTCACTTACTCGAAATGTTTGAAATTTTCCATTTTTCTCCTTGATTAGTACTATGGCTGCTTGAATCACCTGGCTTCTCTTTGGAAACAACAGACTTTCCTCTTCAGCATGAAGAAGTTCTCCCTGCAAAAGAAATAGAACACATTGAAGGCTTTCTAATTTGCAATAATCTACCTTGGTTTTTAAAGGCTACATACACATTTCTGTGCCCATTACCATTTTGTAAATGGTTTGTTTTTGTTAGAAAATGAGAATTTGAAATGCTTAATAATGAAATTTAATTGCACAAAGTTGATGAAAGACAGAAAAGGTTAATAATATTTAACAAATAAGTCAGTGTGTTGTTAATTTTTTCTTAATAATTGAATATTTAATAAAATGAAAAAAATTGAATTCAAAAAATTTAAAGGAATTCAAATGAAAGAATAAAAAAAGTTTTTGTTTGTAATTGTATTAGTAGGTAAAGATTTATAGGATATTGGGTAAAGAGCTTTAAAATTCCCCAAATTTAGCAAGCCTAATTAAAAAATTTAATTTTACCATATCCTCCTCATTTTCCTATCATGAAACATTGCATCTTTAGTTAAAACATTAAAAATATTACTAAAATATTGACATTTTTAACATTTTTAAAAACAATTATTGGAGAATTAAAACTAAACTAGTGCATACCTGTCCAAGTGTCAAGAGCACAGCATGAACGGAAGTGAATTTGACGTTGCGCAGGCGCTTTGTGGCCCAATTCTGATCATTTAGTAATGGCGCCACCTGCATCTGACTTGTCAAAATGTCACAGATGTCATGTTTGTGCCAGCCTAACACTTCCATGGCAACCTAGTAAAATAAATCATTTTTGAAAATTACATTTATATAAAAATATATCAGTTATCAAATTAACATTTAAGCAGACTTTTATTTATCAACGACTTAAATCCTTTTTTTTATTCTTATCATCATTTTCATCCCTTCTTTAATTTTTATTTCAATAATTGTTTTCATCGTTATTGCAATCATTGCTTAATCTTTATTCCCATTACCGTTTTCATCATTATTTCAATAATTTTTTCCATCATTATTTCAATCATAATTTAACTTTATCGTTATTTCAATCATCATTATCATCGTTATTTCAATCATCGTTTTCATCATCATTTCAATCATCGTTTTCATCATCACTTTCATCGTAATCATCAGACTCACCCTCGTCACTTCTATCTTCTCTGTCACCGTGTACTTCTTATCAGCAGATTTCCTCTTTGCTAATCTCACCTGACTGGCTGTTCGTGTCCTCTGAAAAATCGATCAAAATTAATTTCAATTATAGTTATGTAACCATTCACAAATATTACCAAGTCTGCAGAAATAATATTTTTGTAATACAGAATACGTAAATGCATACCGAGTTGATATGTTCAAGGATTTTCTCAATTTTATTTTTGGCACTAAGTATTGCTTCTTTGTCGTGGTGGTTGGGAGATGTTGCCCTATATAAGCGTTCTAACAATAAAGGATACCTGTAAAACAAAAAAAATAAATTAAATTTTATTTCATTTAAAGTTGGACCACCCTCTTAAAATACTTCAAGAAAATATTGTTAACTAAACACGTTCACAGGTATTTTAGTATAAATTTCTAAGAAAAAAAAGAACTCACTTCATGATCCTTTGCACTGGGACCATCAAGAAGGATTTTAAATGCATTCTCCTCAGAATCGGCTGTTCGTCTTGACAGACCTTCAGAAAAATCCTCAGAATATCTTTTTCTCTTTCAAGTTGTTCCAACAAAATTGTCGCCTGGCTCTGAAATAACATCGGAAATTCTTTTAATTACTTCGGATTTTTTCTTTAATTAAATCGTTAAAAACCCACTATGGGTAAAAATAGTATATGTAATAAGTAAAAATAAATGTTTAATTATAACTAATGCGCCTGTCTATCAATTTTGCATGCACAGGTATCTAATCAATAAATATATGATATATCTAATTTGATGTCCCAGTATTTACTGGTTAACCATATTATAGTCGTTTTTTTTTTCCACATGAGAACTATTCTTATATCCTTTCCGTTTTTACATAAGAACTGCTGTAATACCCTTCACTTAGGAGACTAACGTGAGATACCATCTTGAGCCTCGCAATAGTATGACATATTGATACATCGCTTATTTATCTCTGACGCACTTGCATCACCCCTCACACATTAATAAATGAAATACCCTCACATATGTTCTATAATCTCTCTCAAGTTGGGGATCAATTGTTTTTAGTCTGACATGACTTAATGAAATTCGACTTGGCTATTCACTATACGTTAGTGTGGTCTTATCAGTAATAGGTTGTGACGTCAGCACAGACTGTCGGGGAGTGGAATTGATGGACATCTCACTCTTAGGCTGCAATTCTGCAACGTTTTAAAATCAAACTTTGGTCCATGGCCGATTGACCTTTTTGGACAGATAGGAATAATTCAGAGATAACATCTCTAGGGCGTTAATATGACGGCGTAATTAAGCCCAAGGTCTAAACCGTGTTGTAATATGCCTCTGAAGTCCGACATTATTGATTGACCTACTCTCTAATAAAAGTCCAATTGGAATGCAAGTTGACAGCTTGTTTTCAAGAACATATATCATAAAAAAAAAGACACGTCCGGATGCAATGAAGAACATTAAAATCATTAAGGAATCAATACCTGGTTTACGCAATAGTGCTCGAACGTGTAGATGAGGTTGGTTGATTTCAGGAATAGGTCGCCAATGACAACTGTTGTAAGGAGCTGTAACAAGCAAAAGTCACTAGCTAATGAGAAACAAGAAAGCTGCTTTTCTCAAGGCTATGATAAACAAAAAACTAATCAAATACTGAAATCTGATAGGTATATAACTCTATATCTCATTACCATCCATTATTATATTTTCTTATGAAATGTCATGCATTAAAAGAAAACAACAGATGATTGGTATAATGCAAATCGTCTTATACCTCGTCGCCTGCTCCTAGGGCGGCTTCTACTGCTTGCTGCAGACGATCGGTAAATTGTTTGTTGACCTCAATTAGATCTTCCAAGTTTTGAAAGATGTCTTCTAGTTGTTCGGACGTCAACAAACCGTTGTTTTTCATGGGTTTGTAAAACTCCTGTAAAATGATCATTGGTTAATGCAAGAAAGCACAATGATTGCAACATTATTGACAGTTTTATTATGCGACCTTAACCTTTGAGCAAATTGCCTCAAGTTATATAATTATTATGCCTTTTTGAATTATGCACTAAATATATATATAGTGCTCACTATTATCAATTCACATTTTTGCTCAGCCTTGAAGTGCGTTTATTACTAATGAATGAATTTCAACTTGACCTTTTACAGATTGACCTTTATTTAACGCCTAATGATATCACGTTTTTTCTACTGAAAATAGTTATCAACCAACGATCGAAGACGGACTGCAAATATTAGCGTACTTTTAATAGATCATTTAATATAGTAAGCATAAAAAACCCTTCAAATATACCTTCAGGTACAATCTTACAACAAAGCTGAAGTTGATTATAATGACACAATGCTACCCAAGTTATTCAAAACCAGTTAAGTTAAATAAGTAAGTTTTAAATTAAATAGTTCCAAAATTTAAAAACAAAATTTCGTGACAGAGTTTTTATGAATTTCTCAAAGAAGAACAAAACAATTGATTTATTACTAAATACTCTTTAAAAATGATAAGGAAATTTTTAGTTATACGTACCTCCTTTAAAATTTTCAGATCTCTTCCATAATTTATTTCAGTGTCTCGTATCTCCAGAATGGTTTCTTTGCGTTCTTTTTCGTGTTTTTCCTGATTATATTCTGAATCTCCAAAACTTTTTTCGTCCACATCAGTGCACGTTTGTCCCTGTAAATTTATAATAAATGCGTGTAACAATTTAAAAAAAAATAAGTCTTTTCAATGTTTGCACATTGAGTTCTTGCAAATATACAAGCATTCAACAGGTTACATTCGTTTTTATGCATTTTAAATAAAAAAAATATTTTATATTGAATATTCATCTATAATTGAACAATTGTGCTTTGATGACTTATTTCTCTCATGAGAAAAAGAGTCCTTTATTCATTTGTTTTTTCCTCATATGATAACAATCCAGCAGGAAAAACACGTACCATATCAAAAAGACTTAGCACCATTTTTGCAAAAAAGAAAAATCCAAGAAAAGAGAGCACAAAATAAAGGAAGCCCTCCGCGTGAGTAGTGTTTACTCCTATAGTGTAATGTACATTGTTAAACAAGACATCGTAGTCATGTCATGTTATAGCCATAGATTGAAATCAATATGCATTTTTCTAGCGTTGTGATTGGTTGACGGTTGTCCAATCTGATAATATTACCGCGATGAGTGTTTGTCTAAGTCTCAAAGAGATTTTGATGAAGAAAGAGTGTTTTATTCAGTTTACATTCCATTCTTGGAAACGGGTTTACTTTTATTCGGTTTTTGATTTTTTATTTTCTGTGAAAACACTCGTAATACAAGCAGTTTTGGCTTTTTCACACATCAATTGTTATGCAAATCAAAGCTCTATTTTTGGAATTATTCTTTGAATAAAGCATCACATGTAGTGCTCAGCTTCCTCATTCTTTAGGCTCATTTCAAATTAATGTTTCAAGAGTCTGTTTACAACAAACTTCAAATCTCAACAAAAAAAAAACCTGTATTATCTACAACTATCCAAATTCATTTTCCTGTTCGCTGGCCGTTTCAACTGAAAAAGATTTTAGTAACGGCGATGACTGTATGATACATGTTAACTCTCCCGATTTAGGCGGGAGTCTACCGCTTTTTCACTCCATCTCCCGCCTACCGATTTAATTCGGAAATCTACCGCTTTTCTACAAAAGTTGCGTCTAAAGTATTTTTGGTTCGCTTGGGTATCCATTTTTGAAGCCACTCTAATAAAATCTCGCTAGATATCGCGTGATTTGACTCGGAATCATACAAACGCTTTTTTGTACATAGATTTCAAGCACGGATTTGACAACGACAACAACATAAGACTACCAGTGATTACATTGGTTACGATAAATTAATCAACATCCCTGCCATGAAAAAGGAGATACAGCTTTTAAGAATTAGATGAAAACATTTGACATCGTCTTTAAAAGCACAGAAGCTCACAACTTTATCAATAAAGTCAATAGAAATCACTCGATTGACCCAGCCATGTGGCACATCTCTACTTTCGTTTTCGATCATCGCGGGAAATCTGAGTTATATAACGAAAGATAGGAACTTGTTTTAGATCTAGATTATACCATGCCATCATTTGTTTTGTTTAAAAACTGAATGAACATTCAGAATTATTGCTTCTAGGCTATTTCAGCAAAGATCACTCTTCAAATGGCTAAGTAAAGCAGCCAACCCAAGCAAAATGTTGAGCATGAAAAATATTTGAATTTGTACAGTTTATGTCAAACTTAAGGTGTTTCTGTCTTCTCCTTTGCTGTTGATATTTAAGATTAATTAGTGTAGGTACCTGATTTCATTTAAGGCTTATAATATACATGTATATTACATGAAAGATATCGATAATCCTAGCGTTAAACAACACGCGCACAATGCTACCACTTTTGAGGTCTGGATCTCCCTCTTTTTTCATCACAATAGGTTAACATGTATGCTGTATCCTTTTTTTTTTAACGCGAAGAGAATTATGATTGTGGCTTTAACAAAGGTATGACATTCTTTAGATAGAGAAAATCACAAGCCTCTTTCTTCCATGTCAAACACTTTATGCAATGAGCATTGGTTTACATTGTACAAGATTTTATACGAACGGGTGCACAGGTCCAGAAAAGCTGAAGAGGTGAAAGAATGAAAAGTTATCAAAAGTACCAACCTCTGAACCCCCGAACAAGCTTGTCTGACTGAAGATACTGCTGGAGGGGCTAGGTGGGGGACTCGGAGGGGGGATGCTGTCCGGACCGATGACGCCACTGTCCGTGCTTACGTCACTAATGTTACTCAGTCGATGGTTGATGCTACGAAACGGATCAGCTCCAAACAGATTCTAAAAATAAGTACAAGGATTCATATACTTTATTACTATTTAAGGAATGACTCTAATTCTTGGCCAAATTATCGAGTATAATATGGTTTGGGTCAGTTTACGCTTTATATAAATAATTTGTTTAGAGTCATTCCTTATAATTTAATTTTAAAATAATTAAACAACTGGGGATGTAAAATTGTGTTGTTTTTATGAGTTCAAATTTACCGCGCAATAATACAACCGTAGTAACGGAAGTGATGGAAAGCGAGGGGAGGTAAAAACTGATACAGAGATCTAGCAGCCATGATAAATAATTCATTAAATCTGGAATTTTCCATGAATACTGGAAATGAGGGGATTGATGGATACAGATGAATACCAAACCAGATTATACAAAATGTTATGCGTTCCTTTTTGGAAATCAACCAATGAGAGGCAAGAATACAAACAAAATTAAATTATAAACTTATACATATAAATGTTTTGTCTTCATTCATTATCTATCTTTTAAATATGGATAAATTGGTAAAATACGGATGATTTGATGTAATAAATAATTGTTAATGTAGATATGTAATTATGCTGCAGAAACACAAGGCAAAAAGTTATCATATTTTTTCTTTACTGTAAATAAACATAAGAGGCTTTTTAATATAATGTTACGAGTTTTTAGATTATACCAAAGATAAACAGATGCTGTTCTGTATAATACAATGTAATCAAATGCTCCATATGAATCATTAAGTACAGTTAAGATCGGGTTGAAATGTCCATTTTCTCAATGATAAATCAGATTATATTTTATCTAAAATCTGTATATCCTGTCATTTAATATTTGGGATTTATTTTGTTCTTCCAGTAATTTCAATATTGTTGTTTATTTTCATAAATACAGTAGTACTTTTTGCATGTTTTACGTGTTTTCTGTTGTTTTTTACGGGAGGTTAGGGTATTTGACTTATAAGTTAAATGACGTTAATAATTAATTGTATTTTAATTAGCAAAAACAATGTACGCACCCTTTCTTCTTCCACATCTTCTAATGATAAATCGTCTCTGTCGTCAGGACAATCCTCCTCTTTCGATGACAAGAAATTATTTCTCAGAGCATCTATATAAGAGAAGGACAAGTTTTTTTATAATCATTCACAGGACATTTTTCTCACCATTAAGTCAACATAATCGTAATTGAAGTTTTGAAAAAGTCACTGCATGGCATGACTCTGCCATTCAGCCAACTTTAAGTCGACATTCAGTCAACGATTAGTTTGTCTTGAATAACTTTCACAGGATAAACATTCACCATACAGTGAAATGAATGGTTGTTGCAAGGTCTAGAAAAGTCACTGAATGACACAGCTCTACAATTCAGTTACATTTCAGTAGACATTCAGTCAGCCTTTCATTAACTGAATGGTATTATTTTACCCTGTGTTTTTAGCTCACCTGAGCCGAAGGCTCAAATGAAGGGCCAAATGTTCAAATGAAGGGCCACGGCCTTTTCCAAGGGGAGATAATTATGAATTAGAGAAAAATTAATGGCATTATTAAAAAATCTTCTTCTCAAGAACCACTGGGCCAGGAAAGATGAAACTCATGTGGAATCATCCTCAGGTAGTGTAGATTCAATTTTGTACAAATCATGACTCCCGGGGCTAGGGTGGGGCCAAAATGGCCGACCCAAGTTTTACATAGGAATATATAGGAAAATCTTTAAAAATCTTCTTCTCAAGAACCACTGGACCAGGAAAGATGAAACTCATGTGGAATCATCCACAGGTAGTGTAGATTCAAGTTTGTTCAAATCATGACCAGGGTGGAAGCAAAATGGCCGACCCAAGTTTTACATAGGAATATATAGGAAAAATCTTTAAAAATCTTCTTCTGAAGAACCACTGGACCAGGAAAGATAAAACTCATGTGGAATTATCCTCAGGTAGTGTAGATTCTAGTTTGTTCAAATCATGACCCCTGGGGCTAGGGTGGGGCCAAAATGGCCGACCCAAGTTTTACATAGGAGTATATAGGAAAAATCTTTAAAAATCTTCTTCTCAAGAACCACTGGACCAGGAAAGATGAAACTCATGTGGAATCATCCTCAGGTAGTGTAGATTCTAGTTTGTTCAAATCATGACCCCCGGGGCTAGGGTGGGGCCAAAATGGCCGACCCAAGTTTTACATAGGGATATATAGGGATACCTTTTAAAATCTTCTTTTCAAGTACTTCAAATCCATGATTAGTGATATTTATATGGAATCATCCTCAGGTAGTGTAGATTCTAGTTTGTTCAAATCATGAACCCCTGGGGGGATAAAATTCAAGCCCCCCCCCCCTCAGTAAACTTTCAGTTCTGATCTGATATGTGCTTTTTCCTAGCCGATGTGCTCAGGTGAGCGCTGTGGCCCCTGGGCCTCTTGTTTTATCATACATACGACTTTTCTACAATGATTGATTGCTGATTGACTGAACCTCTCGCATAAAAATAGCCTTTGCTTATTAATGTGACTTCAGGGGTGTTTATATGTTATGTTTCCTTTCTTCATACCAGGTTTTTGCAACTTAAGGGTACATATTTTTGCTTGTGGTCAATTACTCTAATGTGTTTTAATGTGTGAGGCAAAGGATCAAAAAGGCTAATATACTGATATTAAAGTGTTATTTTATCCTAACTTAAGGAATGATTTCAGAATTGATAAATTGATTCTTCGGCGAGTGCAAGAGAACTGAGACGAAAATTCATCCAAAAAAAAAAAAATGTTGTATTGTGTTAAAAAAGAAGCCTCACACTCTTCGACCTTGTTAAAAAATAGTTGCCTTGTGACAAAGCAGCGTTTCGTGCTTATGTAATTTGTTTGTCCATAAAGTTGTAATTTCGATGCCAAATTTTTGGGTTTGGAAATTTGACAAAACAGTGGTTCTTGTATAGAGAGGGCAAATTATTAAGAGTAACTCGGCGAAATGTTATCTTTAAACATTTTGCTCACGAAATATTTCTATCGGACAGAGGGGTTCATTTTATGTCAAAGAAGACTTTCAATATTTAATATTTCTAATATTTCTAGGAAAATTTAATCAAAATGATTACTTCACTGCTAAATTTTGTCTGTTCTGGTTCCTTATTATTGATATGAAATAAATGACCGACTCTCCAGACGTAAACAAATTGTAAATTGCTTTAAGGACAAGGACACATTGCTTAAAATAAATTCCATCCATTGGAATCAAACATTTGTTGAAGAAGGTTTTTTTTTGTTTGTTTTAAAGTGAAAACAAAATAAATGTCATGGTCCTCATTGTACAAACAATTTCTAAAAATTTTCATCAATGTGTCATTTAAATTCCCGACGCGCAAAGATGCATGTGTACCACCACTTGAAAAGCCCATCCACTGAGGATTTTTTTGCTTTAAAAAATGCCTTTACAAATTTGAAAAGTGCATCTTTACAATTATGTAGTTATGATAAACAGTATATAGATGTCATCTCAATGCTATGCCGTTGGCATTTTATCTAGATGCTTTATCAATAGCACTATATGACTTTATTTTATTGATACTTTTTATGTGCCCTTATAAAATATGCTTCATAATTATGTAGACAAAGCGACTTATTTATGTGAACATGCAAAATAATGTTGACATGCAAATTACCAATTATCAGAAAATATAATTCAAAGGGTTATTTAACTTATTTTACGTGTTAACGTTAGTATCTGACATCATAAAATTAAATTCAAGATTCAACATGATTTTGTAGACATGAAGATAATTATGTTTTTAAAAAACATGCGCTTTAATTAGAACATGTGAGATGTGTATGTTGATGTGCAACTTATTATCTTGCATTTTGACATTAAAAAGTCACATGTCTATATAATTATGTTAACAAATAATTCGCATGTTGACATAAATAAGTTAATTGTTGACATAAATATCTTGCATGTTAACAAATAACTCGCATGTTGACATAAATGAGTTGCATGAGTTGCATGTTTTCATTAATATCTTGCATGTTTAAATAGATAAATCGCATATGTCTACATAATTGTGTTACATGCATATATATATTAACATAAAATAGTCGCATGTTAACATAAATATCTTGCATATTAATATAAATATCTTGCATCTTGCATGTATGATGTCAGATACTGGCGTTAGTAAGAAAATTTACCCATATTTCTCTAATAAGATTGGTAACTTGCATGTTAACATAATTTTCTTTCATGTAGACATGATTATTTTGCATGTTGACATAATTTATCTTGCATGTAGGGGACAGAAATATTCCACTATACAAGGTCACTGAGCAGAAAGGGATTTTTTTCGTCGGAGCAACTACTGGTGACATGGGACTTCAGTTTCTACGGTCTTAACTGGAAAACCGGTCTGAAAGTTCCACTGCTGGATTCAAACCCGCAATTTAAGGCTAACTCCTAAATACACGCGTACTACTCAAGAGCAAACGCCCCAGCCATTGCAACACGCAAGCGACCTGGGTATATAGAGGATATTCAATGTTTTGTCGTTGAATATGCAATGTGTATTTGATGTGGGACTTATTTTTGATATTTTCACGAGTGAACATCTTGCATGTTAAAAATAACTCGCATGTTGAAAAAATTGCATGTTTGAAATAAATCTTGCATGTTCAACAACAAAACATTGAATTTTGTGTTATTACATATATATTAAAAAAAATTCTTTGATTTTTTCTAAATATTTTGTCTTTTTGCAATACAGTCATAGGCTCGTGACGTCATGGTTGAGCGGTTGAGACGTCATAGCTATGTGAAGTGAAAACACTGTAACCATGAATTTAGCAACATATTTTTGGTAATTTTGACAGTTTTATTCGCTGTCAGAATGGTTTATTTATTTCCATCTAGCTTATATTAGGTCAAAGAAGATTTTTTTACAACAATCTTCGTTATGAGAAGGAAAGTCGAGAGTTTTCCCGCACTTCTGATATTCGTCACACTGTGACAGGATATCATTTTGATATCCTTTCACACTGTGAGAGAATATCATTTTTATTCAATGAATAAATTACAGTATTTTACGGGTAAAAATGTAATAAATACAGTTTCTACACTGCTGCTCTCCATACCGTGTTTCTTGTACGATGGTAAATCTCAAATCTTTAAATCATGCAATTGCAACACACACAGACCGGGGAAGACAAAAATATAGAAGAATTTATTATACTGAGCTCAAGCACTCAAAAACACCATGTTTAGCAATACCTGTTTGATGAACAATGTATATTCTGCTCTACTCCTACGAAATAATATAATGAGATAATTCCATAATTTCCACTAGTAACTGGGGAAAATGACCTGCATTAGTGCTTATGAAATGTTATTAACTAGGTAAATTCCTGGAACTTAATTAATATAATGCTACACAATTTGCAGATGCTTATGCCCCACACTGACACATCCTACCTACATAGACAATGCTAGCACGTGTCTGGGAATGTTTTTATAGAATTCGTTAAAAATCTTTACTAAACAAGTTTTTCCTTGGATGAAGAGGTTTTTTTTTCAAATACAGCAATGCTGCAAAAAACTAAACAAATTATCATCAGATCTTAAGTTACAAAAACGGGTATTCAGTAATGTATACTTTATTTTTCAAGCTGGAAAAAATGTATCAGTTTGTTAAGATGCTAGCATTTTATGCGAGTTAGTTGTTAAAGAGATCATTAGATCACTGAAGTTTTTATCAACTTTGCTTGAATCATTTTCTTACATTTGCAACTGCTATTTATCTCTCAACTGAGTTTTTGGGCACGTGTTTAAGTAAGGATCATTTCCTTACATCTTAAACTGCTCTTATATATCAACTGAGTTGTTGGGTGATCACTTATTTAAGTTTTGATTATACTTTGTAAGGATCGTTGTCTTCCTTTTTGGAATAAGTTGTTGATCACTTACTTAAATTTTGGGTCAGCTTGTTATCTGCTAATTGGATGGAGCCGCTGAAGGGATCACTTTTGTAAGGTCTTTGTTTTCTTTCTCGTCTTTTTCTCTGGGAGTCGGTGGTAACGTCAGACGTCGACCGAGAAATCAATAACTGTTAAAGAAGTGGATAGGATTTATCACAAGTATAGGCAATGAATAGTAAAGAACAACAGATGATTGTTTTATCAAACGAAACGCTTGTAAAAATATATTTTTATGAATTAAATGAGGACATTTACCTAAAACGAAATCACGTGTCTGCCTTCCTGTTTTTTTTTTTTATCGGTCTTCATCGAGTATACTTAAAGTAGGTTAGCAAGTTCAGAAGAGGAAAAACATATTTATCTGATTTATATTTATCATAAACCATAATTGTGCTAATAAAATTGTTTTTGTTTATGGACGTTTACCTTCGAATCTGGTTGAAACGACCTATTCTCTTGTATGTTTGTCCTTTCTTGTTCCCCGGTGTATAGGTCAATCTCTGACCCAGGGTTTGAGCTGTCTGTAGATGGAAAATTAAAGGAGACTAGATCGCTTGGACTATTTGGAAATGAAAACGTTCCCGGGGAGGAGGGACTGAAATTGTTCACACTGAACACTTCACAACTGACGGACCTGTTTAGGGGGAGGTGTACAGGAGGGGACTTTTTCTCAATTCTCTTGACTCTAGTTTTTGTCGTGGTGTCAACAGGTAGAGATGAACAGAGCTTTGGCCATGTTCTAACGGTCGGAATATCTGTGTTAACAAGATTTATTTCTTCTGTTTTATGTTTTCGCTGCTTGGTTGGCAGTTTGCGTTTTCGTGTAGCTCGAAGAATTCGACGACCAGGAACACCGTCATTTCTGTTTGGTTGGGAATTCCTATTCAATGTCTCGTAGCCTTCCGGATAAGCAGTTTTCGGGTTCATTGCACTTTCAGTATTCAGTGGTAAATTATCTTTGGGACTGGATATTTTCTGTCTAAGACAACAACCACAATGGTTCTCTGTTTGACATTTATTTTGGGAGTCTTTTGCGTTATCATCTTCCTCTTCTGTGTCCGAAGCTTGTGCTTCTAATTCCACATCCGTCGAAAATATGTTTAAGGTAGCATATACAGTATTTCCATCTGTGGAAAGTTCAAGGGGATCAACATCTTCGGTAAAAGACTTGGAAGAGTTTGATCGACAAAAATCTCTCTGTTTTGATTTCATACTTTGAGAACGTCTTGGCGAAGATACTGAAACTTCAGGAGATCTTACACAAAAGGATTCACTAGATTTTAATCTCTCCTTCCTCGTGACTAATTTTGTCAAATGATTATTGTCTGTTCTTTGGTTTCCATCAGAGTTCTCATTTGAGTCAGGGACATCAACACCTTGCTGACTAGATTGAATGTTTGATAATGTCAAATTCTCTATATTTGGCAATTTTCTATGGACCCTCTCTTGTGTCTGTCTAGGGAAAACATGTTCTGTGTTCTCGTTTTCTGCTTCTACTTTTGCAGTTTCGACACTTCTACTCACAATCTGGCATTCTTTCGGTAAAACCTGTGATTGTTCTTCATTCACCTTGGTGGTTTCTCCAGTTGAGAGGTTTCTTTGCGTAGTTTCAGTTCCTTTCTGAACTGGTTCCTTTGGTAACCTTCGAGATGAAGTCACTGTAGGAAAACACTTAATATCCAAGTTCTTTATAAACGAATGAGGAATGTTTTCTTTGTTTCTTAATACGTCTTTCACAAATTCTTGTCCCTTTTTCAGTTTTTCTTTTCTAGACCGTTTGAATTCTTCAAAACTTGGAATCATGAACTTTGAACGTCTCGATTTATTCCGAACATTTGCCTTTTCCTCATTAATTTTCAAGGCTTGCTGAAGGTCACTAAACTTGGGATCGCTGGTTCCTGTGAGCGAAAGTGATCTTTTTGCCCTAATAGCTGCAGGATTTTGAGAATGCAAAGAATGTACACTGTCTACGTCTTCAACACTTACATCATTTTCATTTTCTTTATTGTCTTCTTTTCCCACATTTGATGAACTGTTTATATCCTCAGCCGAGTGCAATTCCTCTTCAAGGTCAATTTTGGAGAGGTCAAGGTTAGAAAACGCTTTCTTTAAAGTTCCCCTGCTCCTTCCTTGTCTTTGAGCCAATTTTTCGAGTAAATTTCCATGTCTGCTGAGGTATTTCTTAAACAACTCGTTGTTTAACATCAGCTCGACACGAGGAGATACGGTTACTTTCGTTAGATCACCTTTAACAGGCGAATCAACCGATGCGTTTTCACATTCTTGTACCGGGCGTTGTTTTCCGACTGGGGGTTTTCCAAGAACGCGTGGAGGGTTTCGAAAATCTTGATTGGAATCCCTCACTTCACTCATTGTCTCCGAATTCTGCTCTAGATGACCTTGGGACGTTTGTGAACTGACCATAGCGAGGCTACAGTCTTTTGTCATGCAAACTGTGGTAAAGTTAGTCTTTTGTTATCTCCCGTTATGGCCATTTCCTGGAAAACAAAATACAATTTGATTAAACATTGAAACTTCAATACAGGCACCAACAACAATTACAAGATTCCCCGTAATCTATAGACAATGCAAATGGTGACCTGGAAATGTCGAGTGGAAACACAATGAAAATAATGCTGAAGATAAATTACTAGAAAAGTAAACATTTAAACGTTCATTCGAGGCGTGTGTTACGCGTATTGAAAAACTTGGACTTTCAATACATATATATGTACATGTCAACACAAAAATGAAAATACACGATTTGTGTCTATATCCACATTTAAATTTTCCTTTCGTTTTTATTGATCGTTGATCATGAACTGGTATACTCCAAGTTATTTTTTTCTAATGAACTGATTGCCACAAGTCACCTTTTGATGTGTAGCTTTCTGACCCCTCATTATATCAGATAGGAAAAATCTTTACTAAATTGATAAAGATTCTCCCCATGTTCTCTACTTGGAATTTTAATCATCTGCCCAATTAACATATGTATAAAATATCTTGTTTAGGTGGGAAATAGAGTTGTATTTAAAACGTTGGTATATGTTACCGGGACTTCGGTAATAGTGATATGTAATATTTCTTACCATTGTTACGGAATGCACTATAACACAGCGAAATAAGGTCCAAACTGTATGAATAAAAATCCTGTAAAGTTACGATGCATTTCGTATCTTAAAAAGGTTATTCCACTGATAAAAAAAAGTGAAAAACAACTAGTCACCAAAATCTTTAGGTACTCTACCTTTAAAAATAAAGCGAAATACAAAAAATTTCGTTATCAATTAAAAATAGAGATATTTTGCAAGCCTACGCAGGTGTAGATATCAACAGGTAAAATGATAATTTACAGGTATAGGTCCTAGTGCGTTTTAAAAATTTGCCGAAATTATTGAGAAAAAGTATTCCAATTATTTTCATATACTCTTTATCCATCTAAATTATCTAAATAACTTCACTGTATTTAAAGTCCACACAAATAAAGAATGAAAATATTTTCCAGTTAAGATCCCACCTAAAAATTCCTAGTATGCCTTAACATTCTGGCAAAAATCCATCTACAGTTAGAATTATTGATAATCACTCAGAATGCAATGTCAAAGTTCACTTTTTTAGGGTAGTTTCACGAAACTTCGTGTAAGCATTAGAAAAAAGACACATGGAATACGGGTACATTTTTAGATTATAGTTCCAAGTGGCTTTCATCAGACGTTTTTCTATAAACCATAAAAGTCAAAAGAAGAAAATAAATTTCATAGTCTTAGCAGCTTGAAAGGGATTTAATTCAACCAATGAGCGGATTAACTCCCTTAGTGGTTTAGCGGTAATATGATCAAATACATTAAGTGTCGCATTAGCCATGTAGTCCTTTTGTTGGGTGCATTCCACCATGTAAATATTGAACAGAAGGTTTATCCCAACATTAATTTCCAACACAAACATATATCTCAGAGTAATGAAATTGTAAAGAAATTTTATTGTCAATTTCTTTATTGAGAAAACCTACAACATTTTTAACCTGAAACATCCGGGAATTTACGTGCAATCACTCCAAAAATACCTAGTGCATTTTTTCTCATTATGTGTTCTCAATTTCCAATTTCATTACAGTCTGTAACTCTGGAGATTTGCTTCAAATTAATTAGATCAAAAAGAAAATTACACTTCAATATATTTGAAATATAAACATGTAAAAACCTCTCTGTTTAAATATTGTTTTACTTTAGACAAATATTTACTCAGTGGGTGAAATAGAGTTTTAAATATTGATTAGCTAAATGAAAAAATTCTGGTTTAAAAATGAAATTTACTGAAGATTTAAATTGCCAATCAAATGTACACATTAAAAATGGTATGTCAGTATCTTTTTTTTTCTTGAGTATTAATTCTTATCATTCAATCAGCAGTCAGAGCTAATGTTGCCTACATTTGAATGATGCTACTACTAGAATCAGACATCGTTTGCACCAAAGCTATTTTGCACCACGCCCAATTTTTCTTTCCTTTCGTCTTACAGGAAGAATTTATTTTTATCAAATAAACTCTACAGTGCAATATGAGTTCTTTTAGTCACGTGGAATATTTCATTTGATATGATACAACCTAAGAGCTAGAGAAAGCAGATTTCGTGAGAGATGAACGCAGATCAGATATTCTATCTTGGAGAAGTACGAGTCCGACTTCCATTAACGGATTGCATTGACTGGAAAAAAACCGAATCAGACTGTACATCGTTAATGTACGCTGCATAGTAAGATTAAAGCAATCTGAGGTTGTCAAAGATAGTATGGCCCCCGTCATTTCACTTCATTCATCCGATTGACCCTGAGCCGTGTATGGGATGTGTTCGATAAGTCAAGCACTCTTTGACTTTCGTTATCGTTAGGGTAAAACAGAACTTTTCAGAGAGCGCTCCCATGTTTGTTCACGACTTCCGGTAAAGTGTTTTGGATTGTTAGGTATAATGATTTATCAAGTAAAGTTTGTTTAATTAAAATTGATATTTGCAATAACATGTTTGTTAGTATTTTTTTTTTAATAAAAATAATTATTTTTTTAATCAAGAACTTAATTGACAACTTTTGTTTTTAAAAGGTTTAAGAAAGACCAATAAATACATAACGAGATTGTTATTTTTTGCTGAAAACATTTGTACTTCACAATGTGAAGTATAGGAATTGTTAATGGTTCAAAACCACTACATGTAATGAAAAATTTGTACCAGTGTGGATAAAATTATACGACTTATAACATTATTAAGTAGTCATGTAAAAGAAACCAGCTATGACCAGCCATACGCTCAAGGAAAAGTAAACAAACAAATCAGAATCATTTACATTAAAGCTGAACACGACATGCAAATCGGCATACATGTACGCCATATTATATTTCCTATCGCCGATATCAGCACAGGGGTATACCCTTCGCATTCGTTACACTTTACTACTTTATTGCCATGGGTATCGGCGTGGAATGGACGACACGTGTTTGTGCTGGTTATCTTGCATTGCCGTTGTTTACATGTTATTGCATTTTACGTGTACATGTATTTATGTTTGTTGTATAGTGCACTGACCTGTGCAACTGTTGAAAACTTCTTTCGTATTTTTCTCTCCTGCTGTGGAAGTACATGTACACAGTAATATTTATCGCTACCAAGTGTGTTTTTATGCAAACTACTTATTGATTCAGAAATTGATATATATGACGTCAAAATTAAATTTCATATAATATCGTTTATGTAAAGAAATTGAAAAAGTGTAAAGAAATTATGAAAAAGTGTTTTATATACGTAAATAAAATGATAATTGGTTATACTTATAATTTAATTTTAAAATAATTAAACAACTGGGGATGTAAAATTGTGTTGTTTTTATTAGTTCAAATTTACCGCGCAATAACACAACCGTAGTAACGGAAGTGATGGGAAGCAAGGGGAGGTGTGTAGATCTAGCAGCCATTTTGTTTACATGAGGTAAGATACAACTGTTTGAATTTTCATTAAATCTGGAATTTTTCATGAATCCGAAGGACTGGAAATGAGGGGATTGATGGATACAGATGATTCAGCTGGTTGTCAAGGGGGTGCAAACCAGATTATACAAAATGTTATGCGTTCCTTTTTGGAAATCAACCAATGAGAGACAAGAATTCAAACAGAATTAAATTATATATACATAAAATGATTGGTTATACATATACACAGTTATATTTGTCAATACCGGGTGTGTCGATTTTTTTTTATATTACAAATTTTCATCAACTTTGATATCTATGCAAATTACTTGTTGATTCAGAAATGAAATTCATAGAGTATTTACAGTGGAATAATACACTAATATTTAAGGAATAACTGTCTTATTTTTCGATTTCATGATGTGATCAATCGATTGGCTTGCCTTCGGCGTTTATGCATAAAATTATCACGCAAGCCAATCGATTGATCATCTTCATGAAATTGAAAAAACTGACAGTTATTTCTTATATTTACATGCTCTTGATTCCGCCAATCCACGTTCTACAAGCCCTGCTTCTGTCTAGCTATAATTTGTCTTGCCCTGCACGTGATTTTTTTTTAACCGCGCCTATTGATAAACCAGTACATTCATGTAGAAATAAAGTACATAAACTATTTGTAATTTTATCTCGGACAAAGACGTTGGAAATATAAATATTGCAATATCAATTCTAATCATTAATGCTGTTCTATATCATTTGTACATTTATCCATATATCATCAGATCATTAGTAGATTTTTGTTTTAATTATATAGTTCTCAGTACTGATTGTCTTTCATAAAAAAAAAAAAAAAAAAAAGTTTTTCCATGATATGCAGTGCTGAAAAATACCCTCAAAAGTCATTCATTTCTACCTGACAGCGTTATACATTTCTGTAGGGCTACGCAACAGTGGCAATAGCTGCAGAACTGTAGCATGAAGGTTTTATATTTTAGCCCTTAACCATAATGCTACAGATCCTGTATGAACATAATGTGCAATTTACGGCGCAAGATATTCTACAAACGGTTGGTGAGAATTTCTCCAATTTTCCAGCATTGGTTAATCGATTACCTTTCACTGCACATTTTAAGACACATTGTTTACCCAATCTGTATACTTTATTTACCTCCAAACGCTTCAAACTTCTCTCTACAGACCAGTAAACTCACTTGTTTTGATTTTTTTTTTCGGATGGCAGAAAATTCAAAACAAGTGAGTTTATTGGTCTTTATAGACGACTATATAGAGTTGGAAAGTGAATAATGCTCCAGTTTGTTTATCGATAAAAATGTTTGGAATTTGGAATTTTGAAATTGGAATTTAGAATTCAAGGGTAATTGATTTGCCAATGCTGGAAAGTGAAGAAATTCTCACTAACCGTGCGCAGAAAATCTTGCGCCGTAAATTGCATATTACAGGATCTGAAGCATATGTTATGGTCAAAGACTAATAAATAAAACCATACCCCTACAGCTCTGCAGCTACAGGGCCAAATAAATACCCGGAAATTTGACCTATCTCTTCAAAACTAATCCTGCTTTGAGTGCATGATATTGATCTTCATTAAGATAAGTATTCCCCAACTGAAAAATAAAACACCAGCAATCTTACTAATAGGGTAGCTTTCCTAATGATCTGAGTTTTGATTTCTTCTGGACTGTCAAAAATGACGTGGGGAAAATTGATAAATGCTGCAGTCCCAGTTTTAATCGACCTTGTCACGTTGAAATACATGTGCTTAACATCTGGAAATAGAACTGATGCTTAGTGCAATGTCTTAGGATAAATCCTCAGTGTTTGATACTTGTAACATTTTAGACAACCAATATCAGTTCTATCTTTATTGGATTTCTAAACTTCAGAGATCTAAATTCTTTAGAAACAGACACATGTATAATGTCGGGTGTAGGATACGTTATACCTACACCCTTTCTTTACTCCTTCCAAAAATATTATAAGCAGAGGTTAAAGAGAAAATAAAGGCTACAATATATTCAAAAGAAGTGTCAATCAGATGTGGATTCTTAAAATAAAACTCCCAAAAACTTTTTTTAGAAAATTAAACTTTATTTTCTACTGCCACTAACATCAAAACATTCGACTTTAATTTTCTACCAATAATTTATATATTAAACACGAGATTTTTGGTTTCATTTACAATTGCTTCTTCAAAAATGGAGAAAAAACCCTGAAATTTTCGTATCTTGCGGTTGGTCATCAACAAAATAGTTTTGAAAAAAAATAATTCTGGTTCTAGGCAAAATTACATACTTAGAAGTTGAAAATATAAATATGATGTAGTTTCTCATTTGATAACCTTCATTTTATAGTCTTCGGAAACCAGGACTTCCAACAAACTGTTGAAATTTCGATGGGGATAAATGATGCTCTTTTATTTTCTGGCGTATTTTTATATTCCTATGCAGCAGAATTTATTAAAAAAATTCTTAATGAAAAGAAGAAAACACTTGCTTTGATCTTTAAGTCGACATTCACTTATAGCAACAACATTTTGAATATTTTTTTATTCTGTCAACAAGCCACTGAGATATGCAGAGATAGAGGGATCGGCTCAAGTTGCCTGTTGCGTGCCAATTAATGTGATTTCAATTAAATGTCCGAGAACATCTACCGGAAGTGTTCTATTGAAGAAAAAATGAAATATGTCGTTAGGGAGAATTCAGTCAAGAGCTTACGTAAATTGTCCTTGACCCTGTATGGAGGCATGCTAGAGGATTAACAAGGAAACAAATACAGGAGATAAACCTATACACTGGGAATCAGGTAGCAATTATTTGGTTAATTGACTTCCGCAAAACAATTTGTCAATTCAACATCGACTCTTGTCTCAGTGATTACATCACTGCATTGCATAACAGAGTGCAGACTTAAAGAGATTTGGAAAAGCATCTATAAATTGGCTGTTAAAAAAGGAGCCCGATACTTAAGAAACCTCCCTTCATAATAAAAATCAATACTTGTAGCATCTGGACAATTTTTTTAGCATGATTGTCAAGTTTGGATCAACTTATATTAGTGACATAATTTAGCTGGACGTCATGCATTGTCTGTAATCAGTTGCTTTGCAATAAAAAGCAAGATTTTCACTCAGATTAAAAACTTACCGCAGTTTAATAATTACAATAAATATTAATTAACGAATACATTCTTTTAGCACATGTGGCTATTGAACTTAAACGCAGATATAAATGCCAAAGATTAAGACTGCCAAAGTCTGTTTTCTTTTTCAACTTCCCTCATCTTTTTTACATGTATGAGCTCAGCCTGGACAACTTTCACAAAAAATACTACGCAAAAAATATTTTACTTTTCAAATTTTAAAATACTTTATCCTTTTTATCCTCCGTCAATATATGACTTCTTATTTCCTAATGCAGTCGGGGAACACAAGTTTCCCGAATTAACTTGCTGATTTGGTGATGTTTTTAACAAGCGTCTTACATTTTTGGCCTTAAAAGCAGACCTAAGAGGCAATGGAGCCATTTTAGTTTTTGTAAGGGTTAAACCCAATTTTTTCTTCATAATAAACTTACTACTTTATAAATCCTCTCTTTATTTCATCTAGAAACTATTTATATTTTATCGTTTTAACAATTTAACAATTCTGTATATATAAATAACGCATATATATTAATTGTTTAATAACTATTACCCTTATGTAGGTGCTTCGCATAATGTTGGATGAATATATATTTATAGAATTTAACAATTCTATAAATACGTAATAACTATACCCTTATGTAGGCTGTTTTTTTTTTAAATCTTGACCTATCCATCTAATATGATATTTGATGACCTATTTATCAAATGTAATGGACGGTTGAACAATTTTCAAAGTCATTTCAATGTCATGTTAGAAATAAATTACTTTTTTGTGTATTATATTCTGAGACGGATTATCTAATCTGAGTTTTCTGGGTCAAACAACCATTTTCATATGTCATTAAAGTTTATCATTAAAATTTTAATTCAATCTTGCGTAATTTTGCATCATTTTTAAAAAATCTCAACTTAATGATTCAGAGTGTTTTCGTGACAAAATTAATTAAAGAAGCGGAATCGATTCTCCGAACTCCGAAAAAGGCCGTTTTATTTTCTTTATTGATTTGCGTTGAAGTTTTTAGACGAATTCTGTGTTAAAAACCGACATTTTCCCTCACCGTTACTCTCCTAATATTCCACTGTTGATGTATTTTGAAAGATATTGCATGATTCTGCCAATAAATGTAGGTCGGCCAGCTACATTTGACCTCCATAAAAGTCACTGACCTACTTTTTTCATTTATAATCTCGATAAATTATGCACGTGCAAAAGTGTTCTTTCGGCATGGGGATAGCAATTTTAACACCTTAATTGGCTTTAAGGAACTAAGAGTGTAATGAATATTTCATAATGTTCAAGTAATTATTTGGAATTTAGAAAACCTAATTCTTTGGTGAATTGAGTAATTGATTCCCCAAGGCCCTAAGTTGGAAGACGATTGCTTTCAAATTGGAGAAATGACAATAATTTAGTTTAAATGCACTAAATTGGTAAAATGTGCATTATCTGGTTTCAAGGTGCTTAGAATAAGATCATATTTTTAAGTTATGGAGTAGTAATTACAGCAGACGATACCGAGGTACATGTATGTTTATTTCCTGTTTAAAAGACTTGATTCATATTTCCAAAGTACTTGTATGAAACAAACTTACAAAAACAGCAAGTTTCACAGTTTTTAAGAAAATTATCAACAGTCCCCAAAAAGAACATTCAACAAATATAAATGCCAAAACTTTTTATTTCTTAAGTCCTCTGGATAGTTTTTTAATTAAAACTACAATAAAAACACACCACAACTGCTAGGATGCTTAAAGATAGTCATCATTAGGAGTGACGAGACTCTATATACCAATAATATACTGTCAAGTACACTTTTAAACGACTTTAAAGGCTTTGCTAAACTTGTATACGACCAACAACATCTTAAATGAAATTATGTTATGTGTCCAAGAACTCAGCTATGATCACGTGACCATTTGGCGTACCAATCCAAAGAACTGGTTGTTCGTATTGGTGATCGAAAGCCAGAGCGTTAATACCCGAAATTCCGGGGCCTTCAAGAATAAAACGCTTTAGCACGTGGCCATTAACGTCAGTGACGTGTATAGGTAATGGACCAAACTCAAGTGGACAAACAGCGCTCAGTAGATTATCGTTCATGTCTACTATCAAAGATTTGCCTTCCCAATCCTCTTCAGGTTTGTATTTGGTACATGATTTTCCTGATTCCTCTACAACTATCAAGGACTTGTCGTCCACGACACATATAATCCCGTTCGATGTCTCTGTGACATACCTGGGAACTGAAAACATCGGTTGTCCAGCCGAGTCCATACAGATTTCTCTCAACAGCATTCCATTGTCGGAAAAGATGGCTATCTTTCCAGGGGAGTCCGACTTCTGCAGGCATACAAACAGCATGTCGTCTTTGTTTATATGAAGTCCATATGTGCTGTATGGTGCTAAGTTTTCAAATTCTGTTATCGTGTGGTCCTTTTTTATAATATGTATTGCAGGTGAACCACTGGAACAGTAGAGTTGACCATACTTGTTCACCGCGGTATATGTTGGCAGAAATTTAACTACATATTCATCATGAATGTGTCCCGACCTCAGCACCAGATATACGCGGTAATTAAACGTAGTCACCCAAGCTTTGCCGTCAGGTCGAAGCTGTATACTGTAAATACTGGATCTTCCTTTCTCCGGTTTAAATTTTAGTTCAAATTTGAGCTCGTTTCTGTACAGTTTCTTCTGACTCGAGCCAAATCTACCATCTTCCACCAATGTTCCCATTACGGATCGTATGTCCTCTTTTCCAGTTCTAATTTTCAGGGGCTTTGGCAGTTCGTTTATTGATTGGCTTGAAACTTTCATCTCTGTCAACTTTGGCAGGTTATCCTTTACAAACTCTTCGATAGTATCGTCATCAGCCTCATTTAGGCTTGCTAAAACTTGTCGGATGTATTTTATCTGCTTTACTTGTTTTTCTTTTAATTTTTTATTTTCCTCTAAAATTCTTCCAATTGTTGTTTTGTCCAGGACAACTTTGTTGTCAACTGTTTGAAGCATTTCTTTCTCGATGTTTTCCAGATTTTCCCTTAACTTCTGAGCCACCTTCGATATTTCTGCTTTATTTTCAGTTACGGCTTTATCATATTCTTTTTGATAATTATCACATTCGCTAACCTTGTCATCAAAGGTGCGCAGTTCTTTTTCCTTTACATCTAATTTCTCTAACATCTCTATTAATTTTGGGTGATTTTTGCGTTCTTCGATGGCAGTTGTTTTTCCCGCGCCACTTTCCACTAGTGCAATATTCTGACCTTTACTTCTTGAATACGACTCCACCAGGGTTATAATTGTGTGATGTTTCGTTCCCGCGAGTTTGAGATGGTAGGAATGGCACGGATCACATAATTTCTGATGACAGTCCATGCATTTCCAATTTGCTATAGAATCCATTTCACAAAGATCACAATTAACGGCTGCTTGAGCTCCACCGTTCTCCATTTTGTATAGACTCCCTTAGGAACTTCCGTGTTGATTCGTCAAATTTTGTTGACACGCCGTGTAGACATTCCTATAAAGGGCACGGTTGTCATTGTTTTTTTAAATGAAGTACATTCGTCCTGTTGATAAAAATGCGTCCTTGTCGTATGATTATCACATGTCTAAATGACCATATCCGGAGAATTTATTATCACCTGAATTATTGCAAGAGTCTGACCGTCCGATAGGTTATTTTCTCTACTCTAATGCCCATTTCACTGGTCGGATATCTGTGACAAATGCACGGATGTAATACAACTTTCGAATGGAACGTTTTGAGCTATATTTAGAGTGTTTATTGTCATCTTTTGACACGCCCATTTCTTTAGAAATTGATAAAACGGTCAAGTTGTTTCTTCAAATATATATAAATATAATAGCCAATCAAATTGAGGATTAAATAAACACCGTGTAAACACGTGTTCACCAAAACATGTGTTGTGGTAACTTTAGACATGATAAGTTCAAAAATATGTACATATTCGTTGCAATTTGTGTTTACAGAAAATACGCTTAACAACAAAACTATTTTTTTTAAAGCTCCATTTCAGTGTAACTCATGATGCTTGTCGCGAAGAATGGATGTCCTAAAACTACGATGAATATTACTTTCTCGTTTCTAAAAATATGGGCGTGTCAGTTTGTTATAATTGACCTTCAAAACATGACTCAGAACTTTTCATCCAAACGGAGAATTTTACCACTTCAATGCGCTTCATTGTATATAAATGCATTTATATATAAATGTTATAAACTGTTCTTTCATTTTAGTCTATAATAAAAATGTTGGATGTATAATTATCTTCAAGACATCCTCGATAACTAACATCATTACAGAAACCCCTGCATTTATTCAGATTTTTTATTTGACTGTTATTCAGTTAAAATAACAGTCAAAAGTAGTAACAACTCTTTTTTCTGTAATCAATATAGAAATATTCTTTTTTGGGATATATATATATATATATATATATATATATATATATATATATATATATATATATATATATATATTTTTTGCCTTTTTTAGCATATATATATTTGTTTTATTTTTTTTTTTTAAGGAATGATTATATTGTTTTCTGTTTATTCATTTTGTCTTCTCTTATTCTTTGCGAGGTAGTATCGCTTCATCTTATACTAATATAATTTTGCATCGATCTTTATTTCTTTATACAGTGAACGTTCGACAGGTTTTCTTACACGAATTATTTTACATCAAATAATCATCCGGAATATATACTTTAGCAGCAAAGTTTGTTATAATTAACAGACAGTCTGCCTTGATATGACAAATTTCACATTATATTGAATCATTATTAATATCTAAAAGTACAATCAATAAGTTTTCCTAATAATCCTTTTATTTAGAAATCGTTCAACTTTGTGGAATTCACAAAGTCATAGAAGGAGCGACTGAGTAAGTGAGTAACCTAAAATTCTTAGCAGAGTTCTTGCGTTAAGTTCTCACAGTCGTAAATGAACCGCAAAGCTTAAGCTCTAGGCTGCCTTTAATTTAGGTACATTAAAAATTTTAATTTATGGCGCATTAATCAAATGTATAAAGTATATATATATATCAAAAAGATATTTTGTTCTTTGTATATGCAAAAGGTTGGAAAGGTTTTAATTAATGTAATTTTAGAATGGTTTCAATTTAATTTAAATGGATACACGGTTTTAAACTATGCTATTGAAACCTGAAGCAAATACATGTTCATGCATACCGTGTATTAAAATTTATTACAAAATTAAATCACCATCCATTAAAAATACATGTATGTTTTCTGAAGGTAATGTGATATCTCAAAGTTTGATTATCTTTTGATATTTGTTTCGGAATTTGAAATTAATTTGAGAAAAAGTAAATTGTGAACCTTCCGGATATATTTTGCTTTATCTTGAATAAATAAATCCTCGCAATCTATTCACATCAACTCATGCTAATATAAACTTATTTTCTTTCTTAATTTCGAGACACGCGTAGCATGGTACCCGTACATAGGTAGCTTAAAAATGGATTCACTTTTGGATAACACCATTAAAAGGGTAATGAAAAGTCGAAGTCATCAAAACCATTGGGCATTTAAAACAAGTCCGTGTGAATGTTCTTTTGTTTACAATGCTTACGACTTAATCTGGATTCTTATTAAAATAGGTTAATGGTTTAAATGCATGCTTGGACATGGATATATATGAAATCTATGGATTCACTTGATTTAGTCAATGAAAACTAAAGGTGTCATATGTCCTCTTTGTTTCAACATGCCCTGAAAAACGTGTTTGAGTCTTTCAACAAAATAAAACTACGGAATTCTCAGAGGACCAATAATCATAATGCGCAAAACAGTGCAATGCATTAGTGAAGCAATTTTAAAAAATGCAAACTTTAGAGAGAGAGATATAATGAGTAGTAATGGTATTAGTGCATGTTTCTCAACGTGACAAAAATCAATATGAACAAAGGCTTTTAACACTTCTATATCTTAACAGCTGATAATTATTTATTTTTCGTCTGAAAGACAGAGCTAGGGGGAATAGAGCATATATAGTTTATGTATATATTTTTCCTAATAATTTTGAACTGTGGTAGATAAAATCGGCTTACACAGTGTTTATCATTGTTCTTCTTTAGAATCTACCAACCTACAAGTTTGCAAACTCTATAGAACAAAAGAAGTCGGTATCTGCCTAGACTATAGAATATATTGATATACATCGCGGTGGCTATTAATTATTTCTTAACAGTGTGATTTTTAAAAATCAATATACACCATCGAGGCCAGTTTTGTGTATCGTAGATAATAATATCCTTTCAGGCGAGGTTTAGATTAGAAATAGAGTAAATATTGGAAGACTAATCCACTGCATGGCACAATGTTCAAAGAACAATATTGCAATAACCATGAAAGATAAACCGAAAGACCCTGTTGATATCACTCTATCGTAAAAAGAAAATTGTGCAAAATGCCAAGATCAGCTCACTTTGTTATTTTTTTATATAAGTATAAATAATAAATAAGAATTTGCAACATAAAATTGGAAATAATTTGAAAGATCGTGTCTTCATCGTATACTAGTATTTAATTTTTTGTCTCTAAGTTTTGTTATATTTCAACGTCGTTGGATACATACAAGTATATTATGGAGGCTTACGTGCATGGCATATTAAATACATTGTTGGTCACAGTTAAAATGTTCTCCAGTCTTTCTCTGTCTAATAGTCTAATATTTTAATACAATTCATCCAATATATCAATCAATCATTAGTTTCTTACGGGGGTGCAGTATTTCTTCTAAGTCTCAACATGTTCGACCAATTTTTTGCTTATAAAAAAAATCACCCCCTGCACGCTCAACTTTTTTTACTCGTATATGTACTGTCATTGTACCCAAGAAGTTTAATTTACACCTCGTCCACATGTGCTAGCGCCACACCGGTGCTTTTGGAATTTATGCTATCACTACCCTATATGAATAAGTTATACACGTGAACGATCAGCCTCTTTCGGTACACGTGCTTGAGTTATAGGACGGGCTTGCTGCAAATTGGATACGTATTTTCACAGGAATATTACATCAGGCAGATAAATTTCACTCCATTCCGTCTATAGACCCAAACTAATAGTGCCGTACTGGAAAACGATGACCACCTTATTAATTTTGCAGAAAGCCATATTGGAGTTATTGTCAAAAGAAGTATCGAGTTTAGCACACGAAACAATTACCCATGTACACAGTAGAAGATTATTTTTGCTAAACATCAATAATAAAAAAACATTTACCGTCACGTTTCGGAACAAAGTCAGAATACATAACTTATGCACGAGACTGCTTTTATCATTTGGCAAAGTATCATGTAAATTTTGACATTATGGGATAAAATTCAACAGAGTAAGAAGTTATCATGTAAATTTTGCATTCATCTAGTAAATTCAAAATTTACTTCATGATAATAGAGTGAAACTTGTACAACAATTGTTTTCTTCATGGTTCTCTACTGTACCTGAGAATATAGATCCAATACAGCAAAAATTAATTTTATTTCCGACATATATATGTATATAGTAGTTAGACAAGTGGGTAATGATATATTTGTTACATTTTGAGGTAAAGTAATATATACACGTGAGCCTATGAATCGTGTTTGAAAATCTCATGATTATGGGCTACATATCACGTGACCAAGTTCTTGAGACAGGATTGCATCAATTCTTAGAATTTTGTAATTCAAAAAGTGTCAAATATGGCGAATTGACATGCAATGCCAAAAACAATAACATCCAAGTTTTGGTTGGTAATGAACTCTGGAAGACCAAAATTATGTAATTTTAAAAAAGATACAGATATCACTAGGGGTCTCTGATAGAATAACAAATGGCATGGGACATGCATGAGGCGCAATCCGCATCAAAGTGAAACTACGATTGATGGGTAAGCCCGTCCCAAACTTAAAGTACGTAAGCCCATCTCTTGCCATTGTTTTCTATGAACTAGATTATGCGATGTCATTCAGACAGCTTCTGTAATGCCTTCCTTTTGAGATGGATTATCATGAACAGATTACGATCACAAAGCACGAATTAAATCTTTAACAGCTGATTGCAATCAGTAAAGTATTTATATACATAAATGTTTCAAAGGTAAGAATCATGAATTATATCAACTAACTACTCGAGCATGAACAGTATTTTTTCGGTCATTGTCACGCTATAAATGGGCCAATCCTGTATACTCTCGTTTCCAATGTTCAGAAATCGTTGTTCCATTAGCATTAGAATGAAAATTATCAAAAATTTCTCTTTCAAAGTTTTTCCTACGTTAATGTACTCATTTACTAAAGTGCTTTGCGTTATCAGTTTCTCTGAGCTTACACACTGAATTTAATACCGCAAAGGCAGGTTAACAATAGACAAGTGCTATGGGCCAGTATGAGGTGTTAGAAGGGCGAAATTTATGAAAATTGATTTGTAACTTCAAACTCCGTGCAAAATTACACTAGATAAAGGGAAGGGACAAATTGGTTCATGGAGATATGTATCTGTTGGTTTGGCTAGCATCATGGTAACATTTTCATTTTCAAACAAGAAAAAGATATTACATTGCACTTATTTGTACATACACACTAGGACATTCACGAGAAGAATTCTAGCGCAGAGATGGTTTTTTTTCTCACCGTTTTGATTTCGAGAAGCAAAAAAATCTTACTCTTTGAGTTCTATAATCAAATCTTACACAATCTTTCTTTATAAAAAAACAATTAATCCTCGTGTTACAATTTTATATACGATTTAAGAAATATACGGTCATATACCTTCTTTCTTTTCAGTATTAAGGGATGGATGCATTCCTATTATCCTCAGATTACCAACGAATCGTATTTCTTAAATAGTTAAAAGGGTGGCCCCGTCTCTTCGCTGCATTTGACAAATATTGAATTAAAGTGTATGTTATTGACGTATAGAAATAACCTATCAATCTATAAGTGCACATTAAATCCTAAGTTACACAAAAAGAGAAACCGGGGAAAATAAAATGCTGTATTAATGTGTCAAATCTGAATGTTATCAATGCATGGGGTGCTTAGTTTTATAAGCATTGATATTGATTTTCAAAAAAGGGAGAAAAGAAAATAGAAAGTTAATTCTGTGGGTTTGTGATGCAGTTTCAATTCTTTGCCTTTAAAATGTTCATATTTTCTAAACAATTTTGATGATAAGATATTATACATGAACTACATGTATAAAAGACACCCACGGGACCAAAGAGAGAATATAAATTTTAAATTTCGTGGAATTCTAAATAAAGCAAATATTTTATTCTTACCTGTCTATTCAGCAGAAAGTGAAATCGATTCTTAAATGCTGCAAATTCCTGATGGGAGAAAAATCAATTCCCAAACTGACTGAAAGACAATAGCGCTATATTTCCGTTCTGGTTTTTAGTATCCGCAAAAGGCAATTCCACGTCAGCTTAGAAAACCATTACTGGCCCCAAAAAAACTAATTACACTCTTTCCATTAACCAATACACACAAATCCTGGGAAATAAGTATTTGAAATTACCAGTCAAAACTTGAAAAAGAGTAATTTAGAATTCTCTTGTGTTTTCAAAGACAAAATATATTTCACAATCCAGCACTCAAAACTAATGGCTTATCTTCTTCAAATGGAACACAATCCATGATTGAAATATGCTTTATCTAAATTTCCAAGGTCGTATTCTCTATATGACTGCAATTTTCTTCGCCCCAAACAACAGTATGAATAACAAATGCAACTATTCAAAAACTTTTTAGTCATTTGTAAACCGTAGTAATTTTGTTGGTTTCGATCCGCTTAGCTCCATTATCGGCCTAATTACACGACAATGAATCCGCGCATTGGGTATAAATTACCCCCCTTGAGAACGTCCTATGTACCTGAGTGTCGCGGCTCAGTGCGCCAGGTACATACAATACACCCAATCAACAATGTATAGCTATCGCTGGATTTAAAGATTGTTTAATTGTTATTCATAATCAATATATATTCTAAGAGGCACTGAAGGGATTAACTTCAATTATCATAAAGGATTTACGGTTATGAAAAATATTACCTCGGATACAAGAATTTAGTTGACATTTTTAAAAAATGAATTTAATGGTTAAGCGGAGTAGGATCTCTCTCTCTCTCTCTCTCTCTCTCTCTCTCTCTCTCTCTCTCTCTCTCTCTCTCTCTCTCTCTCTCTCTCTCTCTCTCTCTCTCTCTCTCTCTCTAAACATCATACCAGGCGCGGATCCAAGAATTTTTTTTTCAGAAAGGGGGGGGGGGGGGTTCACCCCTTTTAAAAAAAAAAAAATTTTTTGACAAGCAAAAAAAAAAAACAAAACAAAACAAAACAGAACCAAAAAAAAAAAGAACAAAACAGAACAAAAAAACATCCTTTCCCAAAGAGCTAAATATCTAAGTCTGTGGAAAGTGGGGTATACATAGGCCTAGTCGTCCCAGGTCACTTTTCGTTGGTTTAGTACATTAGTCATTTTTACACTTTTTAATAGTGGGGTCCGCCCCCCCTTCCCCTTCTAGACCCGCGCATGCTTATACCACTGTATCAGCTGAGTAAATTTAGGAATATTTGAAGACTTTGGGTTCCGTTTGTATATTAATTGGGGGCATAAAATTTTACACGTGTTTTTACTCCTTTCACCTGAGTTAGATTTTAACGAAAAGGATTGAAACCAATTAAAAAGTAGATGTTCTCCTTCTGTTAACATCTTTCTTTCATCACTTATTTTTTAAAAAGTCATATTTGTATACAGATATACAGATTTGCAGAGAGACAGTAGTTCATGGTGTAAATGATACAAGGCCAGAAAAAAAATCGTCCTCTGCCGTAACAGCGACTGCACAGCCACTGCCGTGACCAGGATTCGAACCTGGGTTGTCGCGGCCACAACGCGAAGTACTAACCACTATACGATCACGGCTATCTGAGGACATATTTCAACTACAATAAGAAAATAATAATTTCATTGGTGCAAAAAATTCGTCAAAAATATAACAATATTGGGTAAATTTTATTGTTCTTTTCACATGCATAGTGCTCTTCAGTTTGTTTCCAAATCTTTAAAAGTTTCATGTTCTCACCGTCTTCTGTAAAATCCGGCTTTTAGTCAAGCAAAAATTGAACTTCCGGTTCCGATTTGCACCGACTCCATGTGGTAGCGACCTTGGCTATCGCTTACTGCGAATCTTGTGTAACAGCAACCCTTATATTTCAAATACAAGATGTCAGGATTTTTCTCAAAGCTAGGAGCACTTGGTGTTGCTGTTGCGGGCATTGGTAGTGTTGTAAACCTTGCACTTTACAATGGTAAGTAAAGTAGTTTACCTCATACGTCATAGTCACAGTAACAAAAACATAGACCTATTTCATCAGAAAGAAAATTCCATGTTTTTGTTAAACTTTTAAAATTTTGAGACCTCAAAATTCATCATTGGATTTTGCATATGAAGAAGAAATTAATATGTCCTTTTAGTATTTAATTAAGACGTTTGGATAAACATAAAAATGAGAGACAAATGTCTCTGTCTAAGACTCTTTACTTTTTCTAAATCATCCTTATAAAACATAATTTTTTAAGGGTATAAGATAATGCATATGATTAAGATGACATTTATGATGTTTTGTGTTCTACAGTTGATGGAGGACACAGGGCAGTACTATTTGACAGATTTAGAGGAGTCCAGGAAAAAGTTTCAGGAGAGGGAACTCATTTTCTAATTCCCTGGGTACAGAGACCTATAATATTTGATTGTAGATCACGTCCCCGAAATGTTTCTGTGATCACTGGTAGCAAAGGTAAAAATTATTATGAATAGATATTACAACCCCTTACTTGTTGCCATACATGTTAACCTATTGTGATGAAAAATAGGGAGATTCGGACCTCAAAAGCGGTAGCATTGCGCGTGCGTTGTTTTACGCTTGGATTACCTACATATTTCATGCAATATATTCATGTATGTAGCCTTAAATGAAACCTACAATAATTAATCTTAAATATCAACTGCAAAGAAGACGACAGAAACACCTTAACTTTGACATAAATTGTACAAATTCAAATATTTTTCTAGCTGCAGATCTGTAGCGTTTTGGTTTTATATATTTGTCTTTGACCATTTTCATGATCATCATTTTGCTTGGATTGGCTGTTTCACTTAGCCTTTTGAAGAGTGATCTTTGCCAATACAGCATAGAAGCAATAATTCTGAATGTTCATTCAGTTGTTAAAGAAAACAAATGATGGCATGGTTTAAACATTATCTAAAACAAGTTCCTATCTTTCGTTATATAAATCAGATTTCCCGCAATGATCGAAAACGAAAGTAAAGATGTGCCACATGGCTTGGTCAATCGAGTGATTTCTTGACTTTATTGATAAAATGAGCTTTATGCTTTTATAGAAGATGCCAAATGTTTTCATCTAATTATTAAAAGCTGTATCTCCTTTTTCATGGCAGTGATGTTGACTAAATTTATCGTAACCAATGTAATCACTGGTAATCTTGTGCTGTTGTCGTTGTCAAACTCGTGCTTGAAATCTATGTACACATCGATACAAAAAGGCGTTTGTATGCTTCTGAGTCAAACCATGCGATATCTTACGAGATTTTATGAGAGTGGCTTCAAAAATGGATACCCAAGCGAACCAAAAATACTTTAGACGCAACTTTTGTAGAAAAGCGGTAGATTTTTGAATTAAATCGGTAGGCGGGAGATGGAGTGAAAAAGCGGTAGACTCCCGCCTAAATCGGTAGAGTTAACATGTATGCTTGTTGCAGAGCTGTAGTTCTGTGCTTGAGAATATTTGGGCAGATAAAGCAGAGATCGAGAGCTATATACAGATCCAACATTGTAAAAGCTGATAAACAGTTCTGCTGCTAAAAAATTCCTTGTATATATCTTACGAAATGTTCACATTTATAGGGTCAAATGATTCAACTTGCAAATAATAGCACTGAGGAAGACTTATCATCTGATGTCTTTAGTTTCTGTATTTCAGCCTAGACATAGTTTTTGATTTAAGGTAATTCAAAGTGTTTGTATCAAAACTATTCCTCTTTTGTAGATTTACAGAATGTAAACATCACACTCCGTATTTTGTTCCGCCCCGTTGTGAATGAGCTGCCAAAAATGTACACAAATCTCGGTCTGGATTACGACGACAGGGTTCTCCCGTCCATTACAAATGAAGTGTTAAAAGCAGTTGTGGTAAGTCCAAAAAGTAAAGATAAATTAAGAAAGAGCATTACAGTTGTTTTACCATTGAACACTGTTGTTTTTAATTAAGAATGCAGAATCAAGCCTTGTCAGTTACATATTTGGTTTTCTAGTAGAAGAGAAATTACAAGTGACATAACTCTCCAGTTATTGTTGGGAGTACTTAGATTCTTAGTTGAAGACTTGTTTAAATAATTAGTACAGATGCAGTAGCCTATGTATACACCCATCTATTAATAAGTGAAAGACAGGCAGACAGACAAAGGACCCATATCAATTTAAAGTCAGCATTATGACGTGTCCCTTACCCCGGATCTACATATACTATCACTTTAAACATTTTGCTATTTACTAAAATTAATATAGAATAAAACAAAGCTTTCAATGTTTTCTTTTAATACAGGCACAGTTTGATGCTAGTGAAATGATAACACAGAGAGAAATTGTTTCTCAGAAGGTCAGTGAAGAACTGATTACTCGCGCCTCACAGTTTGGAATCATTCTGGATGATATTTCATTAGTAAGTATGACTTCAACTCATACACAGTCAAATACCTGACGATTCAAGATAATGAGATGATTTTCATAAACATTTTAAGAAAAAGTAATTGGGACAGCCAAATGTCATGCCAACATATATTTGGAAATATCAATGTTTTACATAACATTTAACCCTTATCCTGCGGTCAAAGTTTTGGCTTATCAGTTCCACTGCTGCGGCGAAAGTTAAGTGTAAACAAATATCGCAGTTAATGCATACTTCATTTACTTATCAGCTTATAGCGTCCTTATCTTTCATGCAATCAACACATAAGTTGTGTGTAAAATATAAAGAAAAGAAAGAGCTTTCTATGCATAAAAATTTTATTTCTATATTCCTACAATTTATTGCATTTATGTCGATTTATATTTAACAGTATGGATAATGGATAATAAGTCCGAATAACTATTCAAATGCTATAACCATTAATTATAATGATACATTAAATATCATTATTATTCCTTTAGATAGTAGCTTAAATATATTCCTTTTAGTGTATAAACTTATGTCCTTTCTTACAAAGCTCCGGAGACTAAAAGCATGCATATTTAGGTCAGCCATTTTGGAATATTTCTTTGTTCTGGAGTTCCATCTATTTTGGATGGTGATTATGTACATGAATCTTTCTGATTGGTGTATATTTTTACAAATTCTAAACAATTGGTTAATATTTATACTTGTTTCATTCATTGACATGGGATGCTCTGCTAAAAATAGCAGGTAAACAAAGCATCAGAAGAGGAAACCCCTCAAAACGACCTGAGGTCGCGATCCGCAGCAGCAGATCTGATAAGCCAGCGCGACTCAGAGTCGCGATTAGCAGGATAAGGGTTAATAAGTTTAAACACAATAAAAACAGCTTAAGTAAATAAAGGAAACCATTTTTATCAAGTTTCATTTGAAACGAAGTGGCATAAATTTGTACCATTATATGGTACAATTTATTTGTTGTGTATTGCAATTTACGGGTACATGTTTATCAGTATATTTTAACACCCTTAGATTACCAGTACACACTTTTACAGTACGGATTCATAAATCTGGTTTTCTATATGGAAGTATATGGAACTGAACTGATTTCATTGTTTTGAAACATTGCTTAAAATGCATAAATGCATAAAATTTACACATTCAAACATTTGGTATTTTTTTCCAAGTGAGGCATTATAGTTGTTGCTGTACACTAGATATTAGAAATTTCTGATTATTTTTGTAGACACATTTAACATTTGGAAAAGAATTCACGCAAGCCGTAGAAATGAAGCAGGTCGCACAACAAGATGCAGAGAGGGCTAGATACAATGTAGAAAAGGTAAAGTAATGTTATACTGAAAAAGACACTGAAAAATAACAAAATACAAAGCTACTGATGAATGGGAAATGTGGAATTCAAAGTAGAGTGTTAATTTCAACATTGAAAAAATATTGTGAGTTTAATATCACAAAAATGTAAATTTGATCTGATAATAATAAATTTCAGTATCATCGTCTGATTTTAAAAAGTTTTTAATACGAGAGTTTCGAGATTGTAACTCTCCTACGATAGAGGCGCAAAAAGTACCCATTTCAGCATGGAGGTGGGACAGATTGTTTCTGTAGTGTATACAAACGTGCATAAATAAAAGAAACGATATTTATGGCTTTTAAAATTTATTAAATGTTATAGAAAGATAATAATGTTAAGCAATGATGCATTTGATGATTTTATCAAGCTCAGCTATGCATATTTACAAATCTACTATCAATTTTCAGGTACTTGAAAACAAAAGAAATGTCGTAGTCTTTATAAAAATTACCGATTTTCTTGATTGTATGAACATTTTCTAAAGAGATAGTGTTTTTAGCTCACCTGAGCCGAAGGCTCAAGTGAGCTTTTCTGATCACATTTTGTCCGGCGTCCGTCTGCAATGTCTGTCAGATGCATGTCTGTATAAACTTTTCACATTTTCGACTTCTTCTCAAGAACCGCTGGACCAATTTCAACCAAACTTGCCACAAAGTATCCTTGGGTGAAGGGGATTCAAGTTTGTTCAAATAAAGGGCCATGCCCTTATTCAAGGGGAGATAATTGAGAATTAGTGAAAATTTGGTGGTATGTTTTAAAAATCTTCTTCTTAAGAACCACTGTGCCAGGAAAGTTGAAACTTATAGGGAAACATCCTCAGGTAGTGTAGATTCAGGTTTGTTCAAATCATGTCCCCCGGGGGTAGGGCGGGGCCACAATGGCCGACCAAAGTTTTATATAGAAATATATAGGAAAATTCTTTAAAAATCTTCTTCTCAAGAACAGCAGAGCCATAATTGCTGATATTTATATGGAAGCATCCCCAGGTAGTGTAGATTCAAGTTTGTTCAAATCATGACCCCCGGGGGTAGGGCGGGGCCACAATGGCCGACCAAAGTTTTACATAGAAATATATAGGAAAATTCTTTAAAAATCTTCTTCTCAAGAACAGCAAAGCCATAATTTCTCATATTTATATGGAAGCATCCTCAGGTTGTGTAGATTCAAGTTTGTTCAAATCGTGACGCCCAGGGGTAGGGCGGATCCACAATGGCTGACCAAAGTTTTATATAGAAATATATGGGAAAATTCTTTAAAAATCTTCTTCTTAAGAACAGCAAAGCCAGAATTGCTCATATTTATATGGAAGCATCCCCAGGTAGTGTAGATTCAAGTTTGTTCAAATCGTGACCCCCGGGGGTAGGGCGGGGCCACAATGGCCGACCAAAGTTTTATATAGAAATATATAGGAAAATTCTTTAAAAATCTTCTTCTCAAGAACAGCAAAGTCATAATTTCTCATATTTATATGGAAGCATCCTCAGGTAGTGTAGATTCAAGTTTGTTCAAATCATGACCCCCGGGGGTAGGGCGGGGCCACAATTGCCGACCAAAGTTTTACATAGAAATATATAGGAAAATTCTTTAAATATCTTCTTCTCAAGAACAGCAAAGCCATAATTGCTCATATTTATATGTAAGCATCCCCAGGTAGTGTAGATTCAAATTTGTTAAAATCATGACCCCCGGGGGTAGGGCGGGGCCACAATTGCCGACCAAAGTTTTATATAGAAATATATAGGAAAATTCTTTAAAAATCTTCTTCTCAAGAATAGCAAAGCCATAATTGCTCATATTTATATGGAAGCATCCTCAGGTAGTGGAGATTCAAGTTTGTTCAAATCATGACCTCCGGGGGTAGGGCGGGGCCAAACTTTTGGATTCAAACTTTTCAATAGTAAACCAATTACTACTTTTTCCTAGCCACAATGCTCGGGTGAGCGATGTGGCCCATGGGCCTCTTGTTAGGTTATAATAAGGAAAAGAATCAATATGTCATTTAGATTCCCAACGTGCAATGATCAGATGCATGTGTATATAGTATTTATTAGAGGTCCATATCTCTTCCCTCGTCCGAAAAGTCTCACATCCACTGATATTTTCTTTTTTGTTTCGATTTTTTTTTCTTTAAAAAATGATGCCTTTACTTTGATTCAGTTATTCTCAAGTTGTAGAGTGCATCCTAACAATCGTGTAGTTATGATAAACCGCTATATCGATGATGCAATGTATCCAACATACACAGTCTCAAATGTCTGTCCCACCTGTTTGTTTACGCTGCAACGAAACTCCCCTCCTTAACGAAAGAGCGCACCAAGGGAGATAATTTCGAAACTTGCGTATTAAACTACATATATAGAAAAAATTATTCCTCTCAGAGAACATTTTAGAGCTGTGAAACTAAATGTATAAACAGACATTGATCAATATTTCGTACATTTACAGGCTGAAATGGTGAAGCGAGCTGCTGTCATTTCAGCAGAAGGTGACGCCGAAGGTGCTAAATTGCTGGCGGAGGCTTTCAAGAATTATGGCGACGGTATCGTAGAACTCCGTAAAATGGAAGCAGCTGAAGAAATCGCAAGCGACCTGTCAAAATCACGAAATGTGACCTATTTACCTACAGGACAGCAGACTTTACTAGCACTGCCTCAGTAAACTTATGATTTAGACAATTACGTGGATTTTATGATTGTGATTGACTGACTGTATAAATACACATGTATATTTAAATATTTAGATATGCATTGTGTTCATATGTCTGGCCAAGAGTGTATGGGTTTAATTGACACTTGAGTTGATTAACATTTAGAGAAATGCACATATTGGCACATTATATTTCAGGCATTTACTGTGGTTTCATTTTGGTTGACCAGTATGCCTTTAAAGTTGTATGGATGATGAACATATTATGAACAACCATTTTGATGAAAATAAAAATGAATGTAACTTACATGTTGTTTTGATAAGTTAAATGTTTCTGAGGAAGATAATCATGGCAGTTTTTAGTTCACCTGAGCCAAAGTGAGCTTTTCTGATCACATTTTGTCTGGCGTCTGTCTGTCTGTAAACTTTTTAGCTCACCTGAGCCGAAGGCTCAAGTGAGCTTTTCTGATCACATTTTGTCTGTCGTCCGTCCGTCTGTCTGTCCGTCTGTAAACTTTTCACATTTTCGACTTCTTCTCAAGAACCACTGGGCCAATTTTGATCAAACTTGGTACAAAGTATCCTTGGGTGAAGGGGGAATTTAAATTTTTAATATGAAGGGCCAAGTCCCTTCACAAGGGGAGATAATCAAGAAAAGACAAAAATAGGGTGGGGTCATTAAAAAATCTTCTTCTCAAGAACCACAGGGCCAGAAAAGCTGAAACTTATGTGGAAGCATTCTGGGGTAGTGTAGATTCTAAATTGTTCAAATCATGACCCCCGGGGGTAGGGCGGGGCCACAATGGGGAATCAAAGTTTTACATAGAAATATATAGGAAAAATGTTTGAAAATCTTCTTCTGAAGAACCACTGGGCCAGAAAAGCTGAAACTTATGTGGAAGCATCCTTGTGTAGTGTAGATTCTAAATTTTTCAAATCATGACCCCCGGGGGTAGGGCGGGGCCACAATGGGGAATCAAAGTTTTACATAGAAATATATAGAAAAAATCTTTGAAAATCTTCTTCTGAAGAACCACTGGGCCAGAAAAGCTGAAACTTATGTGGAAGCATCCTTGTGTAGTGTAGATTCTAGTTTGTTCAAATCATGACCCCTGGGGGTAGGGCGGGGCCACAATGGGGAATCAAAGTTTTACATAAAATATATAGGAAAAATGTTTGAAAATCTTCTTCTCAAGAACAACTGGGCCAGAAAAGCTGAAACTTATGTGGAAGCATCCTTGTGTAGTGTAGATTCTAAATTGTTCAAATCATGACCCCCGGGGGTAGGGCAAGGGCCACAATGGAGAATCAAAGTTTTACGTAGAAATATATAGGAAAAATCTTTGAAAATCTTCTTCTCAAGAACCACTGGGCCAGAAAAGCTGAAACTTATGTGGAAGCATCCTTAGGTAGTGTAGAATCTAAATTATTCAAATCATGACCCCCGGGGGTAGGGTGGGGCCACAATGGGGAATCAAAGTTTTACATAGAAATATAGGAAAAATCTTTCAAAATCTTCTTCTCAAGAACCACTGGGCCAGAAAAGCTGAAACTTATGTGCACATGGAAGCATCCTGGAGTAGTGTAGATTTCAAAATGTCGGATCATGATTATGATCAGTGGGGTAGGGTGAGGTTGCAATATATATTAAAAGGGGGAAATCTGGTAAAGAACAGAATGGTCAAAGCTTCTCAGGTGAGCGATGTGGCCAATGGGCCTCTTGTCACATTTTTTACTTCTTCTCTAGAGCCACTGGGGCAATTTCAACCAAACTTGCCACAAAGCATCCTTGGGTGAAGGGGATTCAAATTTGTTCAAATGAAGGGCCACACCCTAATTCAAGGGGAGATAATTCAGAAATATTGAAAAAAATTTTGGCATGTTTTAAAAAATCTCCTCAAAATCACTGTGTAGGAAAGATAAAACTTGTTGGGAAAACCATCCTCAGGTAGTGTAGATTCAAGTTTGTTCAAATCATGACCCCCCGGGATAGGGCGGGGCCACAATGGGCGACCAAAGTTTTACATGAAATATATAGGAAAATTCTTTAAAAATCTTCTCAAGAATAGCAAAGCCGTGGTCATTTTTAAATGTAAGCATCCTCATGTAGTGTAGAATCAAGTTTGGTCAAATCATGACCTCTGGGTAGGGCGGGGCCACAATGGCCGACCAAAATTTTACATAGAAATAAATAGGAAAATTTAAAAATCTTCTCAAGAATAGCAAAGCCATGATTGGTCATATTTATATGTATACTAGTATCTATTTAAATCAGGTAGTGTAGATTCAAGTTTGTGCAAATCATACATGTACCCTCTCCCATTTAAGGAATAGTTGGGACTACTTTTGGGTTTAAACTTTTAATCAATTAGTAAACTAATTTCTGCTTTTTAGCTCACCTGAGCCAAAGGCTCAAGTGAGCTTTTCTGATCAAAATTTGTCCGTTGTCTGTCGTCGTCGTTGTCGTAGTCGTTGTCGTTGTTGTAAACTTTTCACATTTTCATCTTCTCCTCAAGAACCACTGGGCCAATTTCAACCAAACTTGGCACAAAGTATCCTTGGGTGAACGGGATTCAAATTTGTTCAAATAAAGGGCCACGCCCTTTTCCAAAGGGAGATAATCATGAATTTGTTAACAAATTAATGGCATTTTAAAAAAATCTTTTTCTCCAGAACCGCTGGGCCAGGAAAGATGAAACTCATCTGGAAGCATCCTCAGGTAGTGTAGATTCAAGTTTGTTCAAATCATGACCCCCGGGGCAAGGGTGGGGCCAAAATGGCCGACCCAAGTTTTACATAGGAATATATAGGAAAAATCTTTAAAAATCTTTTTCTCCAGAACCACTGGGCTAGGAAAGATGAAACTCATGTGGAATCATCCTCAGGTAGTGTAGATTCAAGTTTGTTCAAATCATGACCCCCGGGGCAAGGGTGGGGCCAAAATGGCCAACTCAAATTTTACATAGGAATATATAGGAAAAATCTTTAAAAATCTTCTTCTCAAGAACCACTGGGCCAGGAAAGATGAAACTCATGTGGAATCATCCTCAGGTAGTGTAGATTCAATGAAATATATAGGAATATATAAGAAAAATCTTTAAAAAAAAACTAGGACTTCATCCTCAGGTAGTGTAATCAAGTTTGTTCAAAGCCAAGGGTGGGGTGGTTTTACATAGGAATATATATTAAATTGTACAGTGGACCAGATCCTCATCGGAACGAAAATTTAAAATGTTATTCTGTCTTGTTTAACTGGTGATTCAGATATCCGGATGCTTCACATATCCGGACAAATTGACTGGGAACCAAAGCGTCCGGATAAATGAGGGTCCACTGTATACTGTTTAACGTCCCTCTCCAGAGTATTTCACTGATATGGAGACGTCACCGTTGCCGGTGAAGGGCTGCAAATTTAGGCCTATGCTCGGCACTCAGGGCCATTGAGCAGGGAGGGATCTTTATCGTGCCACACCTGCTGTGACACGGGGCCTCGGTTTATATGGTCTCATCCGAAGGACCGCCCCATTTAGTCGCCTTTTACGACAAGCAAGGGGGTAAATTTTACACGGGATCATAGAAATATATAAGAAAAATCTTTAAAAACTTCTTCTCAAGAACCACTAGGACAAAGCCATGATTGTATATTTATATGAATATATAGGAAAAATCTTTAAAAATCTTCTTCTCCAGAACCACTGGGCCAGGAAAGATGAAACTCATTTAAATCAGGTAGTGTAGATTCAAGTTTGTTCAAATCATGTGGGGCCAAATCAAGTTTTACATGAAATATCTTTAAAAATCCTTCTCAATTACCACTGGGCCAGGAAAGATGAAACTCATGTGGAATCATTCAGGTAGTGTAGATCAAGTGACCCCCGGCCCTGGGGATAGGGTGGGGCCAAAATGGCCGACCCAAGTTTTACATAGGGATATACAGGGAAACCTTTTAAAATCTTCTTTTCAAGTACTTCAAAGTTTAAACCCCCGGGGTATTTTTGGAATCATCCTCAGGTAGTGTAGATTCTAGTTTGTTCAAATGATGAATGCCTAATTTCAAGCCCGATGTGCTATGGCCCCTGGGCCTCTTGTTTCGTATGTGGCCCATGGGCCTCTTGTCCTTGTATACAAAATATTTGCTAAATGTTATATAAAGAGGCCACCACTTGCCAGTGGAGGGCTGCCAATTTACACCTGTACTCGGCACAGTCTTTGAGCTGTGAGGGATCTTTTTGTGCCAGCACCGAAGTACTGCAACACAGGAATTTAGTTTTATGATCACTTGAGCTTTTGACTCAGGTAAACTTTTCTGATCACTTATTGTCTGTCCATATGTCTGTAAAATTTTCACAATTTCAACTTCTTCTCAAGAACCACTGGGCCAATTTAAATCAAAATGGTACATCGCATCCTTAGGTAAAGGGTAGTTTAATACATGTATCTCAAGAACCACTGGGCCATAAAAGCTAAACTTATGTGAAAGCACCCCTGAGTAGTGTAAATTATAAATTGTTTAAAGCATGACTCCCTTGATATGGTGAGGCCACAAATGGGAATTAAAATATATAGGAAAATTTCATAAAAAGCTTCTTCACATGAACCACTGGACCAGAAAATCTGTAAATTTATGAATCTTTGCATGTAGTTTCTAGTTTGTTCAAATCATGGCCCCCAGGAATAGAGTGGGATCACATTAAGGAATCAAATTTTTACATTGAAATATATAGTAAAAACATTGATAAAAAATATATTCTGGATTGTTCAAATTATCCCCACCCGGCATATGCCACCCAGGGAAAAGGGTGGGTAACATTACAGAATCAACTTGAAATATATAATAGGAAAAAATATTTTAAAATCTGCTCAAGATATATTGAGCTAGAGTATGAAACTTGCATGGAAGCATCCCGGTGTGATGTAGATTCTAAATTGTTCAAATCAGGACTCTCAGGAATATACAAATGTAGAAGAGCCACAAGTTTTAAGGAAGTTTTACATTGAAATGTAGGAAAAACTTTAAAACCTTCTTCTCGGGAAGAATGGGCCAGAAAAGCTATGTTATAGAAAGCTCCCTGGGCCAATGAATATTTCAAGTTGTTCAAATTATGACCCCAGGGCAAAAGCTTCTCAGGTGAGCGTTGTGAACCATGAGCCTCTTGTTACGCACTCATCCAAGGAACCTGACATTCGAAATAGCGACTTGCAATTTAACTCCTTTTCCTTACTCGAAAACAATGGCAAATGATCTGACCACTGTGTCACATGGGCTTGTACAAATCGATGCATGAATTCCTTACTAAAGCCAATTTTCCAAAAGGAGGTTGGTAAATATCGTAGGGATACAATTTAGATTAGTGTATGATAAGCTCACCTGAGCCTTGTCCATAGGAAGCAATTTCAGCTGAGGGAGGGGGGTACAGCCATACATTTTCAGTTGAGGGCACTATCACCTACCTAAAATTACTTGACAAGAAACAAAAAGGGGTTCATCAGACGTTTTATTGAGGGAACAAGATTGATTGATTGTATACTGTTTAACGTCCCTCTCCAGAATATTTCACTGATATGGAGACGTCACCATTGCCGGTGAAGGGCTGTAAATTTAGGCCTATGCTCGGCACTTACGGCCTTTGAGCAGGGAGGGATCTTTATCGTGCCACACCTGCTGTCACCTTTTGACAAGCAAGGGGGCCTCGAAGTTTATACGAAAACAGTACATGTACGTATGTTTTCTGTAGTATTCTAAATATCAGAAAAATTATAGGAAGCGTGCCCCTTGGTTCCTACGGCCATGTGAGCCAAGGCTGAAGTTAGCATATCTGACCAAAAAGTGTCCAGTGTCCATTTTTAGCTCACCTTAGCCGAAGGCTCACCTTTTACGACAAGCAATTTTGACCAAACTTGGTACAAAGCATCCTTGGGTAAAGGGGAATTTAAATTGTTAAAATGAAGGGACATATCCCCTCATCAAGAAAAGAAAAAAATAGGGCTGGGTCATTAAAAAACCTCAAGAACCACTTGAAACTGGAACCCGGATGACCCCCGGGGAAGGGCGGGGCCACAATGGGGAATCAAAGTTTTATATAGAAATATATAGGAAAAATCTTTGAAAATCTTCTTCTCAAGAACCACTAGCTGAAACTTATGTATCCTGGTATAGTTTTCTAAATTGTAGTCAAAGTTTCACATAGGGAAAAATCTTTGAGAACCACTGGGCCAGAAAAGCTGAAACTTATGTGGAAGCATCCTGGTATAAAACGGGGCCACAATGGGGAATCAAAGTTTTATATAGAAATATATAGGAAAAATCTTTGAAAATGTCAAGAACCACGTATGTTTTCTGTAGCCACAATGGGGAATCAAAGTTTTACATAGAAATATATAGAAAAAAAAATTATGGGCCAGAAAAGCTGAAACTTATGTGGAAGCATCCTGGTATAATGTAGATTCTAAATTGTTCAAATCATGACCCGCGGGGATGGGGAATCAAAGTTTTATATAGAAATATATAGGAAAAATCTTTGAAAATCTTCTTCTCAAGAACCACTGGGCCAGAAAAGCTGAAACTTATGTGGAAGCATCCTAGTATAATGTAGATTCTAAATTGTTCAAATAATGACCCCCGGGGAAAGGGCGGGGCCACAATGGGGAATCAAAGTTTTATATAGAAATATATAGGAGCCAAGAAAAAGTGAAGCTTATGTGGAAGCTGAAGTTAGCATATCTGAGGGAATCAAAGTTTTACATAGAAATATAAAAGTGTCCAGTGTCCATTTTTCTGTTGTATTTTAACAAGGGGGAAATCTGGTAAAGAAAAAAACGGTCAAAGCTTCTCAGGTGAGCGATGTGGCCCATGGGCCTCTTGTTCTGTTGTATTTTTGGTCTTTTTTTATTTCTCCAAAACTTTCCACAATCTAAAGCATCCTTTGGTAAAGGGAATTTTTATTTTCAAATAAAGAAACGTGCCAACGAGTGGTAGTGTATGAAAAGAAATTAGTTGCTGAATGAAGTTTGATCTCCCCCTCCTCTTCCACGCCTCGAAATACCGTAAATTCCTTATTTTTCGCGAATACTTATTATCGCGAAATAGCTCTTTAACGTCAAATCGCGGGAATAATTATTCGTGAATGCACGATTGATCAGGAGACCTTACATGGAATTTAGCACCTTAAAAGAGCGTGTAACTTAATTTCGCGTTTAATACATCTCGCAGAATTACGCGATTATTAATTACTCGCTAATAATTAGGAATTTACAGTAGTGTTTTCGGGTGTGGGCAGGTTTTTTTTTTTTTTTTTTTTTTTTGTCAGGTTTGAAATAATATTTTTTCTCTGGCTGCCCATTTTCAAAATCGATGCTACGTCTCTGTGATAATTAGTAATACGGGTTTCACAGTGGATAGAATTTGTGACACGGTAGGCTATTTCAAAGTGACCAGTGACCAAGTTTGTGAAATCAGGAGAAGGGGGGGGGCTTTACAATGATTTTTTTATGCCCCCGTAAACGAAGTTTCGGGGGTATATAGTTTTTGTCGTGTTCGTCCGTCCGTCCGTCTGTCTGTCTAGCTGTCTGTCTGTTTGTCCGCAAAAACTTTAACCTCGCCCATAACTTTTGATTTAGTGGAGCTATGACATTCACATTTCACATGTGTATTCCTTGTGACATCTTTGGGTACCACCGAATTTGACCTTTTGACCTTGACCTTGGAGTTTGATCCACTTTTACACAAAAATTTTGCACTTTTACTTTGGCCATATCTTTTGAACAGTCGACACCAGGACATTTGTACTTCATATATTTATTCTTTATGGCAAGACCTTTTATTGGATGCCAACAACCTTGACCTTTGAGATTTTTGCACTTATTTGAATCATTTTAAATGTGAATTATGGTATTTTTCCCAATTCTAACTAAATGTCGCAAATTTTTCCCAAATGGAAAGGCCTGGGTCCTTGATTTAAAGACCTAAAAAAAAACCTGAACGCGGCTGAATTTCTGGATCTGGGGTAGATGCTTAGGCCCAACCTTAAATGATGCAGCCACGTATTGTTTATCATACAGTCTACTATAAATAATGTACAGCACTGTCAATACTTCGAGAAAGTTTTTCTCGTTTGTAGGTGCTAAAAATGACAATGACGCGAAAACAAAATCGTTTCGAAAATTTATTTATTTACAGAATGGAAAAATGAACTCGAAAAACGCCGGGCATCTCTGAAGGAAAAACTCCCCCACATGGACTACGTATGGATAAAATTTTATAACAAAATTATCAAAGAGATTTTCATTGTCTAGAAAGTGACAAATAATTAGTTCTTACACCGTGTTGAAAAACCGTGAGTATTTTTGTCTTAAAACACGTGTTACGAACCCAAAAGACTTTAAAAGAATGTCAATCTGGTAATTAACACATCTTAAAACAAGCCTAATTTCCGCTCTGTCATCGCCTTGGTCTGAGTTGCCTTAAGGGGACTATTTAATTAATTAAATCTTTTATTAGAAATATTTCATCAAAAATATTTTCTTTAGTATATTATAGACAAAAAAAGAAATAAATGAGTTTTAAGATTGAATGTCATGTCTATTACGTACTTTAACTTTCGGAATTCCATGTGATTGTTTTGAATTTCAAAGATTATGCGACAAAGATGCAATTTAATTGATACCTCCTTGGTGCCCCATTTTAAGCACAAATTAAAAAGTGCAATTATAAATTAATTGTTCGTACTTTTTCTAGTTGCAGTAAAGGCGTTGTCTGCCGCAGTTCTTTAACTGGTAAGTTTTATATTTTTTCGTCTTATAAAAATGCATGGACACAGAGCATATTTAATGCATCAATATCGAAACACTTTCGATTAAAAAGAAATTTAAAATGCATGAATATTAATTTAGATGTCCGGAAAGTTGGTATTACCTGGCGTGATTTTCATTTAATTAAGACTTTTAATTAAAACAAAATTCTACGGAAATTCGTAACTTTTTTTTTTTTTTTTTTTTTTTTACAATTTTTACATGTACTGTTGTAGCTCGATTAAGCGAGAGGGTCGAGTGAACCTTGTGTTGATCAAATTTTTCTCTTTTGGCTTAGATTTTCATCTCTCTCTCACAGTTTTTTTTTTTTCATTATCGACTTTTCAAGAAACGCTATTCCATTTATATCAACTTAATCCATATAGCATCAATGGTCCAGCAAATTCAATTTAATTTTCATTTAAATTTTTCCAACGACTGAAGAGTCATGGCCTAACCTGATAAAAAAAAAGACGTATATATTGTATTAAAAATCTTAAGAACATTTAATTAAAGATATATAATTTGAAATTAAGTCATAAAAGTACATGAAATATAATTTGGATGGAAATTAATGGAAATTCCTATGATTCCTGTGACGTTCGTTATGAAACTGGTTGGATTTTCCATTATTTTATGTGAAACGAAGGCAATGGCGTCGGAAGCAAAATAAAAGGGGGAGGGGGGCTAATTGAAAGTGAGGGGGGCTAAACCAACAAAAACGGTAAACCCCAATTTTTAATGCTTATATTATGTATATATTTGCAAAAAAAGTGGGGGGGCTAAGCCCCTCCCCCCCCCTCCCCCCGGGTCTGACGCTTATGCGAAGGAATAGACAAAATTGTTCTATTCTGACTGCAAATTTTACAGAGTGCAAACGTGCAGTGGAACACGCGTCACTTATTAATTTTCATTGATCATTTTACACATATTAAGATGCGCAATTATTATCCTACACTGGACGATTTCTAATCAAAATATCAACGTAAATTACCCCTTTTTTTTCTTGAGGTGATTGAAATTTTGATTTTACACCCATTTCTTGTGGCTATACTTATTACATTAAACTTTATAGCTGACAAAGAAACTAATGCTTGAAGTCTGGAGATATTTTCCTGGTTTTAAATGGAACTTTATCTGAAGATTTTCCCATCAAAGTTCAATTTTTTTGGCAAATATTGGTCATTTCAGATAACAGTCCTTTGATGACTGACATTTTAAAAAATGCATGAATATAGATTTACCCCTAAAAGCCATAAGAAGGGAAATGAAACTTTGGTAAGGGTTGTGGCCATATGGCCTCTTGTTTTAGAATATTACTTATATAAAACTGCTTTCACTTGCAGGTCTCGTACCCGTAGTCTTTCTACCATGGATAACGTTGTTTGGACACTGGTTTTCTTCCTTTCATTGACGGCCGTTTCGTCGCAAGGATTTTCGGCAATGGAACCAATCATTAGTCCCACTGGAAGTGGGAACGGATTCCACAGCGTAGCCAACTCAAACCCCAGTCCAAATACACGTCCCAATGGCGCCGGAGGAGCTCCGAACAATCCTGCCATGGAAACCGTTCAGAACCCTAACCGTTTTGGTATGGCTCCGTTTTTAGGCCGACAGGGTGGGCCCGGAACAGAATTTAACCGACCCTCGGATATCGGTAACCCGGATCCCAATACTCTGATAAATAGGAGACCCAGGCCTCAACAACCGCCCGTGGTTGTAAAATTGCCACACATGTGCCATACAGCGAGTTGGAGTACAGATACGATGGTGGTAATGCCAATGCCTATGTCGAGGATGAAGACTGCCGTTGGAACACTGCCACTGAGAAGAGGAGTGGTGATGCAACAAGGCAGGGGAAGTATTCCCTTTTCTATGGGACAGATAATGGCTATGAAAATGAGAAATCAAATGATGTCCATGGCAAGGCATGGTTCAGCGGCAATGTCAGAAAATTCAATGAATACCATGGGAGGAAATAACATGATTCCAATGGCTGAGCCCGTAATGAACATGCCGAACATGATGAATGGCGCCATGCCGAACATGATGAATGGCGCCATGCCGAACATGATGAATGGAATGGGTAATGTGCCACAACCTGAACCGGTCATGTCCGAAATGATGGCAACACCTGGACAAAATATGATCGGTGTAGGTGCTGTGCCACAACCTCAACAAAACATCATGAATGGTATGGCACCAATGCCAGAGCCAAACATGATGAATGAAATATCGTCCATGAATAAACAAATTATGATGAACGCTATGCAACAACCTCGACCAAACATAATGACACCGATGCCAGAACCGAACATGATGAATGGAATGACATCAATGGATGGACAAAATATGTTGAACGGAATGAGTGTTATTGCACAACCTGCACAAAACATGATGAATGCCCTTCCAATGTCTGGGTCGGTAAACGGGGCGGGCGCTATGCCACAACCTGAACCTCATATGATGAATGTAATGAGCTCTACATCATCAGCAGGAACAAATATAATGGGTAATATGGGATCAATGTCAATGATGTCTATGTCACAAAATGGCGGACCTTCACAACCAAAGAATCAACAGCAAGTCGTCTGGGCGGCACCGTCTGCTAATGTTATGGTAGCAATGTCTTATCCAACGCCAAACAGAGGCACAAATATGCAGCGAGTAGCTATATACTGATCGAGTAGCTATATACTGATCTGAAAGAAAAGAGAGAAAAAACTTGTTTAACACAATCCTTAGTTTGTCTTCCTGCTTCAATATAAGATTTTGTTTGTCGGAGGCATGCTTTGTAGATTCATTGTGATATTTTATTTGAATGGTTACTAAAATAGATTTTGAATGAAGGGGAAGTCAATTTTTCATATCAATATATATTTCCATTATTATTTGTTTCTGTTGGTAAAGATTAACTTTTTGAAAGTTAGATGGTAAAGATTATTATTCTTTTTTTTGATAATTCAACCGCAACTTTGAATATACTCATTTCTCAACGGATTTCGCTCAAATTTTCAGATGTTATAGACGTTTATAAACTCTATCAGAATGCTGACTAAAATTTCAAAAAGTCACTTCCGGTTTTAGTTATTTCCCTTTAAACGAAAATTGTATAGGCTTTTTTCCAGACAAAGGCTCAGAGACGGCTAAAGCTGGAGCAGAAATTCTACTGATTTTAGATAATAGAAGGATTGAAATTGTGTACATCGGATTTTGTTTTTCGATTTCTCAATTCAAAATATATATAGGGGTCAAAAAATAGAACTTTTTAAAAAAAACAAAAATTACATATTTTGCTTTTTATTTCTAAACTAAAAATATTTTGTTAAAATATATAGAACATAATTTGTGCAGAATATGAAGACAAACAATATGTTGATGTCCCTAAAGTAAGGGATTTAGGGGCCAAAACAATACTAAAAAGTGAATTTGTTATACATCAAAGAAGCAAAGTTGTTGAAAATACCAAGATTATTATATATGATTCAATAATTCCAAATTGATGCAAATAATTCGGAAAACGCGTATTTTTGCCGTTTTTGACAAGTTTTTGTGTAACATATGTATCTAGGAGCTAAAAAAATTAATTTTCCGTGCGTCGTCGTCACTTCCGGTCAAACCGGAAGAAGCAAAAATGGCTTATTTTTGCATCACTTAACATAGCTTTAGAAGATTCAAAGCATTTTGGGCGTTATTTCTCATTTTTGTGAAAAATGAAAGCTACTTCCGGTCAAACTCGGAAACTACTCGTTGCTTTGCAACGAGCTTATAGTTACTTTTTTTTCTTCTGCTTCCACGTAACTTTGAGGCCTCACACACCCAACAGATTTCGCTCAAATTTTCAGAGGTTATAGGCGTTTATAAACTCTATCAGAATGCTGACTAAAATTTCAAAAAGTCACTTCCGGTTTTGAGTTATTTCCCTTTAAACGAAAATTTATAGGCTTTCGTTTCCAGACAAAGGTTCAGAGACGGCCAAAGCTGGAACAGAAATTCTACTGATTTTAGATAAAAGAAGGATTGAAGTTGTGCACATCGGTTTTTGTTTTTCGATTTCTCTATTCAAAATGGCGCTTTATAGGGGTCAAAAATTAAAACGCTTAAAACAACCAAAAATTACTCATATTTTGCTTTTTATCTTCTAAACTAAAAATATTTTGTTAAAATATATAGAACGTGATTCGTGCAGAATTAGAAGATCTTTCAAATGATATCTCGGAAAAAGGGCTGACCCCTAAATAATTTAGGGGCCAAAATTTTTTTCCAGATATTCAAAAAGCATTGAGAATTTGTTATACATCAAAGAAGCAAAGATGTTGAAAATGTCAAGCTTAAAAATCGTCAAAATTCCAGCGTCGTCACTTCCGGCCAAACCGGAAGTTTAAAACGCGTATTTTTGCCATTTTTGACAAGTTTTTGGGTAACTTAAGTCTCTGGGAGCTTAAAAATTAATTTTCCTTAACACACAAGTAGTAAAAAATGGCTTATTTTTGCATTAATTAACACAGCTTTAGAGGATTCAAAGCATTTTTGGGCGTTTTTGATTTCTATGAATGGTGTTGCCATGGTTACAAAAATAGAAATTTCTGTGAAATTCCTTTTAAACGCTATCCCTCCTACAGTTTTTGTCTTATTCATATATAACTTGGAATATAAATTTCGCCAAGCTAAAAGTTGGGATTCATAATTTAGTACGCACGTAAATCTCGCGCGTTTTAGATTTTGCAGGGACTATTGAAATTGATACGGGAGACCTCGTGTAATTTAAATATATTAGACAACATCTATTTAAAATCTAAATTTACAATTTTGTTTTACAATGAAATGGAAATACATGTATAAAGAATCACTGTATACTAATGACATCATCGTTGATCTCCCTGGCATACCCAATAAACTAGACAGTGATTTCTGAAACAATTTTATAAGGAAGATAATTAATATATGATTGAATAATTCCAAATTGATGCAAATAATTTTAGAAAAATATAAAAATGGTTGTGGGAAGGGGACACTGTCCCCAATTTTTTTCTGGAGTAAATTACATGTATAATTTAATGATCATTGAAAGGCTGCAAATCATTCAGTATTTGTTGGTTTTGTGCATGTGATCTGATTCCAAAAGGGTTAAATCATGTAATACTTTTGTAAATTCACAAAATATAATTGATGGCTCTGAGGTTTCAAGGTTTAATTTCAATTATGGGTGGCATTTCTATTTTTACTTTTAAGAAAAAAATATATTTCACAGTTTTATTAAGTCCATTGAAATTCCTTAACATATTCTAAAGAGTATCAATAATAAATAACAAACAGTACACATACCTGTGTCCGCAAGACCAGTTAGTCTTGGTCTACACACGTGCGATGGAGTTGTCAAACGCATAACCACCCGAGCTCGGAAAAACAAAACGCCTATATATTGTTTTGCCTAGAAGTTACGATGGCAGACAAAACTTTTTTTCGTAATTAGATCAATTTATGAATACTACAGTTTTTTCTGATTAGTATATAAATTATACACCTGCTGAACTACTAAGTATATTTTGTTCGGTTTTTGAACATTTGCATCTGCAACAAAGTGTGTTTAAAAGTTTTGGGATTTCAGTAAAACTTGGTACATGTACACAAGTAGACTACACTAAGATACACATTTCTATTTAACTGAAACCTTTTTTTTTTTTTAATTACTGAAATAAACTAATGTATTCGACTTACGGAAGTTTAATTATTATATAACTTTCAAATTAACATTATATCGAAAATTACTTTAAACATTTTTAAAAAGAATCTGGTAAGATATTTTCACACAAACATTTCAAAGAGATTTAATAATTTTGCAAAATTTTACAATAATCTTAAGTTTTTGGTTTTACTACACATTTTATAACTACGCTCCCTAACAGAGACTTCTGGAAACACACTATGAATTTTTTTTTTGAATTGAAAGCAAGGGCAATGTTAATTTTCCGTCATTTAATATTACACACACAGAATGATTAATTTTTTTTTCTTAAAGAGGAAATCTATTTTATAATTAATCATATAATTAACATGAAATTAATACAATTGTTGATATAGTATAATCAATTCATCGGTGAAAAAATATAACTACATGTAAAAGACCTTGACGCACAGAATTTGTTGGTTTTGTGTCTCTGTTATCAATACTTTTGTATATTCACGTATCACAAAATATAACTGAGGTTTCAAAGGTTCATATAACTACATGTAAAGGAATATTAATATTTTTTATGTGTGCAATTCCAGAAGGGTAAAATCAAATATACTTTGTATATTCAGAAAAAAATTGACGTTTAATTTCAATTTTGGCATTTATATTTGTTACTTTTATGAAAAAAAATATATACACAGCATTATTTCTTATCATAAACAATAATGTTGCTTTATTTTTCTAGTAGTCTTATCATGATGGAACTATATTTCGTCGGAACAATTTGTGTACAAATATACTAGTAACTAACATACAGAAATATATCTTGCAAACTGATCACAAAGAGCATATTCATATGCATTTAATATATTGCAAAAGACGTCACTTCCATTGTGCAAAGCAACTTCGCCCACCCTCAAACAAACACACGCACGATTGCATTACTATATCCCCTCCTACTCCGCTGCGTGGGGATAATTATATAGAATGATATTTCATTAACACGGTGAGCCCCTAATTGTGGCATATCCTGCAATACACAAATTCATGTAGACATGCCATATACCAAAAACAGCCTCAATTAAAAAAATCAAGCAATTAATCAAATATTTCATTAAAGTTGTAAGACCCTCATTATTTTTAAGAGTTTTAAAAATGAGATAAAACTTAGATAAAACTAACTACGTTTTATACATAATGAATAAAAACAATTCAATCACAAATAAGATTTTAAAACATATTTCGTGATTTTCTTTTCAAAAAGCAAATTATTTTTTTTAAAAATACTCAGTCCAATTAGCGTTAAATGAATCTTTCGATAACAAAATGAATATGTTATAATTACATGTTACAATTCATGATAATAATATAAAAATAAAATAACCCTATACATGTACATGTCCGAACATAACATTTGGGCGTAATTGTCTCTCTATCCACAATAAAAAAATTATAATTTGTGCTGTAGCAAGGTATAATTATACAGCCGTTCCCATCTTAAGTGTACTGAGCAAAACTCTGTACAAAGAGGGATCACTTTTCCCATCTATCTGTCCGTCCGTCCGTCTGTCACATTTTTAGTTTATCTTTTGAATAATTAAAAATAAAATGAAAAAAAAATAAATGCAACAAAAAATCTATATGATATTTGAAGTACATGTTAATTATAAAGGATATTATATTTTTATGTTAGTCTGTGTGTTGTCTTGGTTTTGTTCATTGCCATGCAGCATTCTTTTTCTTCAAAATCCTTTATGCTTACCACGAGGATCAGGAAAAATCTTCTCAATGACAAAAATAATTCAAAAGTCCAAGTATAACTTATAAATAATAGTATTTATTTCTTGTTAAACCATGAATTTATTATAATAATAATAATAACTAGAAACTCTTGTTGCTACAGCAACAAGAAAGGTCTTCCGTTCTTCTCTATTAAGCTGTAAGAATGAACTTTTTTCATATATTTTACAAACGATGTTTGCTGAGAAAGAAATATAAGCTAGATAGTCTGCTGTTGCATGTAATAGCGTATGTCGCCCCGAACTGGACAAGACTTTAATTTTTTCATCACTAAAACAATACTCATTAATTAATAAGCTTGGAAAACCATCAACTCGTATCGCTCCTTTCGATCAGTACTTTGAATAAAAAATGTTTAAGAATGTTCACTTTTCCCATGTTTCCATAGCAACTTTTGAAAATTTGCAATTTTTAAATGCAATAACTCTCGGACAATATTGGTCGCTTTCTGCAGGTTTTCATGGCAAACATTTTGAAACTGAATAACCACACAACACATCTATACAATAAGTGATCGTCCTTTGAGGAAAGTTTCAGGAAGATTGTAACAGCCATCTTTGAGAAATAGCCTGGGGAACAAAACATGCGTACATTCGCAATATGTCGCCCACGAATTCGTTCGGGGCGAAATAAAAAGCCCCCCCCCCCCCCCGAAATAGGATTTTCGTGTTTGGGAAATAGACTTTTCCTTTTTTTTTTTTGCTTGTCAGATTTTTTTGGAGGTACAAAAAAAGTTTTCTTACACTTAGCCCCCCCCACTTTCAATTTGCTTCCGACGCCAATGAAAAGGGTTTCTCATTCTGGTGGTATGAAATTAGAAGTAATTTATGGAGCTTTGCAAAGAACCTTGAAGCACATTGAGAGGAATATAAAATTGTTGCATGAAAAGATTTAATTTTCAAGCTTCATTTAAAGACTTTTTGAATTAAAATATGAATTAAAGAGTTGTTCTTCCTGGCTGAGGGTCGGAGTCCCTTGATGGGAAATTTAAATGCTCATATTATGTAGTTTTTCCCTCATAACCTTTGACAATTACATATTTAGTGGAGAGTGTTTTTTTTTAATTAAAGGGTCTGATTCCATTTAACATAGTGAATTTTAACGTTTAAACAGCGTTTTACTATTAGATGCATTAAATTAATAACGATGCCTTTATTCAAAAACTTAAAAAATATAAAATGGGAATATATATATGCCTTTTTAAATGAATATGTTAAAAATATGAGAAAGAAATGAATTATTTAAATTATTTATACCAAAATAATTTTATTAAATACATAAATTTAAAAATGATTTTAAAGTGACAGGATTTGCACAAAAAACTACCGGGGAAGGGGGCTTTCCCTATACTCTTTGTGGCCGATATTTAATCATTTTACCCAAGCTGACAGTGCTTAAATAAAACTTTTGATATACTGAATTGATAATTGTCTACATTTAAAAATTCATATAGGAACCTGACTATGAAATTATTTTGATATTATGGGCATTAAAATGTTTATTTTTTTTAACATCACTAGTTTTCACTGAATTACTAAATACTTCTTTTTGAGATGAAACTTTTTTCCAATTAATATCAATATGTTTTTTTTTATTATCTTTAACACTTACATAATCTCACGTCTCGCGCTAAGCCTATGTATCGTTCCCGGTCCGTCGGGAGTCGGGCGTCGGGAAGACTAGATTTACACCTTGCCGGAATAATATGTGACGTCATTGTCATTTCCTTGCTTGGAAGCTGAGAGCACGCACTGCTGCCGACGGCGACTCGCAAATTAGACAAGAGTGTAAACATATCCAGACAAAGCTTTTGGAAGATTTCAAGAAAGTTACAAAGATCCTTAAAGACACAGGATTTTTATTAATCTAACTTGCTGCTTGAGACTGATAAACTAGATTTAAGGTTAGTTCTTTTGGTGTATTGAAAATTTCCATTCGTCAAAGATGGCGGCCAAGGGAGATTACGCATGAATTAGTTCTTAATTTATAAGAATTGTGACAATCGAATGAAAATTGATGTTGCCGTCAATGAATTAGACTATCATTATTTGTTTTCTTTAGGCTATTCTAATTTTTGTTTGTTTGTGTAACATCCACATGGTCTCTGTCAAAACCTATTATTTTTAATTTATGTTTGGTTTTCACAACTTTTACATCGTTTGTTTGTGGATGCTTAACATAGATTTAAAAAACTTGGCCTTAGACCTTCCTTGAAGCAACTAATGAATAAATGATAAAACACTGCTTAATGAGAGAGTAGACAAATCGTTAAGCTTTGCCAGTCAGGGGTGTGACTGAAATCCATCATTTTTAAAAATGATCATGGATAATGGTCATTTCTTCTAAGTATATAACTCATTCTTCAGTACTGAGTTCAGATGTGTGACCAAAGGGTTATTTTTTAAAAATAATCAATTTCATAATTTATGTATATTAATTGAGTCAGTACCCTTCCTGCTTCTGAAAAAAATTGATGGGAAGATAATCTGAAGTCTTAAAGAGGAAATAGGTGTCCAAATGTACAAGCATGTCTGAAATTTTATGTACGTAACTTGGTGTCCACAGTGACTGTTTTTTAAATCAATAAGCTATTCTTTTCTGGTGAATCCTTTTTGAAGTATATAAACACTAGTTTGCATGTTTTATTGCATGACTTATTTCTGCCTTATTCCATTATAATTAGAAAATATATCCAAGATTACCAATGGACACCGTTACTTACATAAGCACTAAACAAGTAACATGTTACTAGAATTTAACAAGTTGTTAAAATATGAAAATAATGTAATCAAAAAGGTATGATGAAATCATGTTTAATTTTATATTAAATGGAATTTATTTAAAAAGTCACAATTTTTATTTCTAGTTTCAAAAAAGGAGAAATTATGTAAGTAACATGGACACCTAACTCCAAATCAGGCTTTAAAAACGAACAAAAAAATAACAAGACAATCGAACACTTGTCTTTAATACTTTTAATATTTCATTTCAAAGCTTAATAATAGACTAGCTTCCAAAGAGAATAAATGCAGACAAGTAAATTGTCAGATGGATTGCTAAATATCCTAGGTCTTCTATTTTGAGTCTTGGATCTTTGTGTCATTGTTACGAACATAATTCAGTCATTTCTTGTAAATCTGAAAGAAAAAAATATATAAAATAAATAAAATACAACATGATGTAATCAACACATATGCTGTTTAATTATATTTATTATATATCCTTGATAAAACCAGAAAGAAGGCAATTAAAGTACAAATTATGTCACTACTTCAAGTTTTCATGTCTCTGTTATGAACGTAATTGCGTAAATGATATGGCAATATTAAAACAAATATTCAAAAAGTATTCATCCTTTGATAAGAGCAGAACAAAACTAACAAATATAGAATAAAATATAGTACAGTATAACTTTATCATTAATAGATTATACAAATAATACAAAAACACATGTTAGTAACATAAGACGCGAATCAAAAGTCAAATGTTAAACCAAAAGTACTCGACTCGGACAGATTTATGCATTTTGTATGGTCGTAAGCGACATATTTCAGTTTCTGATCATTGGCTACATGGTATAGAGATACAATGACTGTATTTATGTGTTAAAAATTCACTAAAATTGATACAATATGAAAATACTTACCGAATCTATTATGTACGTAACTTCTGTCTTCCAGTTGGACACAATGAGCATCGCCATGTTTTTTTGCAGACAGCTGGGCAACCTTTCTACTTTCGTTTTCAATTTATAATTATACCACTGCTACGGACTTCCTGAGCCAAACTTATGATTCATTGGCTGTTATTTTAGCAATCATACTGAAAGCTATTATGTTCGTAACGGTCAAGACACCAAACATTTTACAATCGGAGATCATTTTAAAATTACAAAAAGAACTGAGTTATGTTCATGAAGCATATTGTTAAAAATAATTTATCACACATACTCATTAATTAAACACAGAAATTGAACTTGACAAATTATTTAATGTTTGTAGAGAGGTGTTAAAAAGTTCAATGCATATATATGGACACCATGCGTTACGAACATAAACCACAAATTTTTAAGTTCAGAAAAAAATAATTAGGATAATTTTAGCATGTTTGACAAAATAAATATATTATTTCATTTATATGCTAAGATAATGTACACATATATCATGCCAAATGATTTTATTTTTAAATAAAACAACATCTTTATGCCTATTCGAAAATTATGTCACATTTTCTGCAATTGAAATCCCGTAAATGCAATACAACAATGATCAATATTTTTTTACTCCTCAACTCATATCCATAAAACTATTTATACTATATCCTTACACAAGTATCCAATCATATCAATATCAATCTATCTGCTTCCACTTTATTTATTGGAAAATAAAGGAGAAAAGAAATATATTTTAAAAATTCACCAGTATTGAAGAATGAGTTATATAATGTACACAATCTTCTGACTTTTGTAAATATGACGTCTTTTCATCATATTTCCATTCCCAAGTAAATTTTCCCAACCCATTTACTACAGTAATTAGATATAGTACACTATACAGCCATAGACCCTTGTGTAGAGAAACATCTTGACAAGTAATTGAAACCAAAAACCAACAAGATAATTAAGTGCGCCCAGACCTAACAATTTGATAAAAAATGATGAAATACAGTCAGTTTTAATATCAGAGGTTAACTCTATTTCTAAAATAAATTTCAAAATAGAATTGACTGTTTTTCATCATTTTTCTAAAAAAAGATGAATTTCCATCATTATTAAAAATCAATTTAATGACTAGAAATCATCATTTTTAAAAATGATGGATTTCAATCACACCCCTGACTGTTTGCATTGCAATGCTTAGTGCTATAAATCATTGCATTCATAGTTGACATTCTCAACAGCAGATCTTTGATATAAGATATATTAGGCCACCATTTTTTTATTTTCTGTTTTACGGGAATTTTTTTCAATAAATTGAGTCGGGGGGTCGAAATAAAAATAAAAATAAAATCTTCAAATTCAAGCAGTCGGTCAGAAAAATAAAAATAAAATAAACAAATGTAACAATTTTTTTTATTTTTTAAATTAAGAATGGAATTGGTTTATTGCCTTAATTAGGTAGGAAAACGGTGTTATTTGAAAAATAAATGCATGCAAAACACTTTTATCATAATTTTGGGGTATTCAAAAAATAATATAGGATTTTAGGATTTTTGAGTAGCTATCATATGGCAAGCATATAGTGAGGCTTTTAATGGATTGGTTAAATTATTTCACAAGTGAGACTAATTAAAAGAAAATCTGTGCATCTTTTTCAAAGCAATTCAAATTAATACACACATAGGTGGATAAAATGTATCATATCTCTTGAAAACATATTGAAAATACCTCAATGCTTCAACTTTCAATGTACACGATTGTAGAAAATGCATGTACATGTAATACCATAAGTATATACATGTAAAATAGACTAGGAGAATTACTCTATTTACTGCAGAATTTGAATATTTCTAAAAACTGGTTCTAATTCACAATTTTTGAATTAAAAAAATTCAGGTCACATTTGTATGGACGTATCAGTTGCTGCTTTGATTTTCCCTAGTGGTAAAAAGGTTGTTTTACAAAGAAAGAGCTGTTATAACCACCCTCATGTGCATTTATTTGTTACATAGCAAGTAAAATTCCATTTTTAATCGTAATAAGTGTGATTAACATGATATTAACGAGTTGTAAATCGAATTTCCTCAGTCACGCCACTTTTCACAGTGTTCTGTTCTCTTATTGCAAGTAAAAGAAAACATTATTGTATTTAAAATAAGTTTCAGAATAATCTTCAAGCAGTATTTCAATGCTTTTAAACAAATGTCAAAGATAAAACGTACTTAAAACCTCTCAAAACAAGGGATTGACAGAACCTCGATTTCCACGTGCATGGTCCTGCGCGTAACATTTGATCAAGATTACTATTTCGTCTATTTTATTCAATCTTTCATTAAAAGTTAATCTAAAATTATTGCTTTTTTTAAATAAATGTCATGTCAATTTTTAAAATGACTGGATGTGTCTAAAAATACCCCACGATTCTGACATTTTGCAGCTAACTTTCATGCTGTGCAGTGGCTATCCACGCTTCACATTCATGCTCATTTGTTTTGCCAACTGTGTTTGGATGGACATATTTACCTTAGCCAATGACAATTGACGTTTTGAAAGGCTTTTTGAAATTTTGTTGACGTTTCTTTTATTTTTTCAGTGACTATAAATAAGCTATCGGCGGGAGAAACCAAAATAAAACTTGAAGAAGAGACTTTTATTTTTATTTCATTTTAGCCCAAATTAGGGTCGGCGCTCCCGTAAAACGGTAAATAAAAAAATGTTGGCCTTACTGAAATTATGGAGTTTTACAATTATCTGACATTTATTATAAGTATTAACTAATGATATTTTTTATTTACGAATACGATGTACAAATCTACTTATTTTATGATGAACAGTAGGCCAACAAGCTGTACAGGTAATACTCATGGACTTCCTGTTTGTACTGTTCGTGTGTAGGGATTAGTGTTTCGCACGGTCTGCATTTACCTGAATGTGTAGGGGTGCCAAGAATGTAAATTTAAGTCCCTCCCCTTACCCATGTTACCTGAGAAAACCGTACTGTTAAAAATCTCGGCCTTTTATGAAAGAATGATATTATTAAGTGGTTGAGAATGTCAACATTTAATTAATGCAATAATATATATTTCACTGAATTTGAATGTTGCAATGCTTAGTGATACATTTATCATTATGTGACATTTTATTATTGTTGGTCGGTACAATGCCTGTAATTTATGGTTAATATCGCGAGTACCTCGCAGTTACCTAACTAACTACTGCTCTTTTGCGGGAGAGTCAAGAAAGCT